AAAAGTTACTTGCTTGGTTTTTAAGTGTTAGTTTAGTAAATAGAGAATATCTGTAACTCCCTTTAATCCAGGCATATACAACAAGGTAAGGGTGTCATTGTGAGCCTACATCTTCCTCGCAGTACTAGTTCAGCTAAATGAGAGCGTCAGTATCAGCTCATAGGTTAAATATTTAAGAAGCTAATATTAACATTTTCTCTGTGTGCCGTGATAAGTATTTTACTTATCAGGGCAATACTGCATTAGAATCTGGTGACCTTCACTTGCTTTGAAGATGTACAAATATTTCCTTGAGATTAGTACGTACACCACATCTCCATTCGGTACAAAGACTGGATTTTATTTGCTGAGTTGCATTGGGGTTAATCTTACTGATTTTAGCTTTGTAAAATCTCAAATGGCAGCATACTGCATGAAGCTGACCAAAAATACATATGTAGGAATTTGGCAGCATTTGCTGAGCAAGTAATTTATAGCCACATGATCATTATAGCACCAATGAGCAGCACACATGATTAATTACCAGGAATGGGACTAGCTTCATCTGTAGGATTTAGCAGAATTTTTAATACAAGACACCTATATTTAGTTTCTAGGCTACGTATGTTGTAGTTATCCTCAATCTAAAAGTCAATAAGAAACTTTTCTCTAGAGATAGTGGTAAATTTCCAGCCATTTTTCCTGGTTATTTATAATCTGAAGTCCATGATTATTTTCCTCTTGGAAATTCACTGGCCAGATGTCCATGAAGCTCCCCTTAAAGGTGGTTAAGCAGTGTAATAGTATGCAGTATTTATATGAAGCATAGTACTTTACAGTTAGTGATTTCATACTCATTCTCTTATTTGGTATTTACCTAGTGTAAGGACAGACGACTATCATCCCCATTGTGAGGGTGAGAAAATAGAAGGCAGAGCCTAATGACAAAGGCTTTTACTCTTTATACTGCACTTTCTTACTGTTTATGAAAAACAGTCTATAGCTATGTCCATCTTAGGGACTAATTCTTTCTCCTATCTTCCCTTTTTCCTGTACTTGCTGGAGAAGCACAGAACTCCTGAAATGCACAGAACTTTCCCAGAGTTATCATTGAATCTCATATTATATGCTACTTAACAGGCTAATCATAAAGGGAGCAAACATACAGTCAAATTGAATTCCCTTCAAAGTGTTTGTCAAAATAGGTGAACACAGTCACTTTTTGGAACAAAGCATAGTACAAGTAGGTAGATAATTTAAAATTGAGCACTGCTCTCTTTAATGAATTCTAAATTCACTAAGGTCAGATAAGTAGTTGAAGGACTTTTTCCAAATAGATATGTGCTTAGAATTGTATTTGGTGTTCTGTGGTGTTCCTTAGCTATGCGAATGCACACTTTGTGGTATGTATTGAGTAACTCCCAAATTTGGTTTCTCATCTTGAACCACAGAGATTGATATTTTTAGATGAGTCATGGTGTTCTTAAATAATCAGGTGCTTTAGATTTCCTAGCTGTGATTTATAATTCTTGCTTACCCCTAGTGAGGTGCAACAAAGGAATTATGATTTCTTGGAGAAATGGCTGGATAATTAAGATAACATTATCACCACGTTCACAATGTAGCGGCAGCTATAATTTTGAAACACTATATTAGAATTTAGCCAGGTGATTCCTCCTATAAGTGGGTAACAATGGAAATATCTCCAATAAAGCGGCTGGTCTAAGGCTGTTCTTCTGAATAATAGTGAAAGGATAGAGTGACTTCCCATCACCAGGCTACCTGATCCTTTCTATTGGTAACTAGATGACCTAGTCCCACTCCCTTGATGCAACTGCAGTTTAACAAGCTTGAAAACGTTAAGCTTTCTTGTTTAAGCTTTCTACTTTGAAATGTGTAAGAATCTGGGCTGGGTGCAGTGGCTCTCACCTGTAATCCCAGCACTTCGGGAGGCCAAGGCGGGCAGATCACGAGGTCAAGAGATTGAGCCCATCCGGGCCAGCATGGTGAAACCCCATCTCTACTAAAAATATAAAAATGCTGGGCACGGTAGTGCGCGCCTGTAGTCCCAGCTACTTGGGGCGGGGGGCTGAGGCAGGAGAATTCGCTTGAACCCAGGAAGTGGAGGTTGCAGTAAGCTGAGATTGTGCCACTGTACTCCAGCCTGGTGGCAGAGTGATACTTTGTCTCAAGGAGTGTGTAAGAATCTGGCATCTTGATTTTTTGGAGTACTTTTTCCAGGAGAATGATCGGGAAAATGAAAAGTAAAAGGGTTGGTGGATTCATGTTCCAGGCTGAGGAAAGCTATAGGTTCTTAAGTTTTGAGTTTTCTTAAGAAACTTGTCTAGGTACTTGTCCAGGCATGGTGGCTCACAGCTGTGTAGTTTTTGTTATCAATTCTAAAGTAAAAGGAGAAGATTTAACGAAAGAACACAGAACTGAGAATCAGAGGATATGAATTTTAATTTCAGCTGTGGCATACAACTTGCCCTGTTGATTTCGGCCAAATTCCTCAGTCTACCTGGATAAAGTATCTTTATCAGATGGGAATATTTGTACCTGTATTGTTTATCTTCCGTGTTTATAGTGAGAAACATATAAAATAATGTGAAGCTACTTTAAAAAGTGTAAAGTGTGTACAAATGTAAGGGATTAGCATAATTATCTCAGTCACTTTGCACTCTTTGAAGTAGTCTTTATGTTCTCAGTTCCTGACAGTTGTATTCATGAAGGTGAGAGATTTAGAGTTTGGTTGGCTTAGAAGATTTGTCTCGTTTCATGTCCTATTCCTTTCTTTCTTCTCTTTTAAACATTTAAATCAATGCTAAAAGACACTAAGCAGAGGGAAGAATTCACAGTGTGTCTGAATGAGCAGAATCTAGACAACTAAATCAATACAGCCAAGCTCATGTTGACATTCTTATAAATGCCCTTTAGGTTTTTAATTTTCTGAAAATTTTCTGCCTCCCTCATCCCTCCAAATCCCTGGTTTTTAGATGTATTAACTCACCAGCACAATCTTCCATTTTTCAGTGGAACCTATGATTAGATAATTGTCTACATTTGTGCTACATTTTCCAAAGTAGAACAAGTTTTTCTCCATCTCCATGCTTGTGGCTCTTCTATTGGATTACTGCACAAAGGTTACTGCACAACTGAGGACAGATACTTAAGAAGGAATTTTCCCATTTGTCAATTTCAAAGAAAACCACCTAGAATGAGGCCAGGGATACTTGGGGTCTTAAAATAGTTCTTGCCCAGGCATAGTGGCTCACACCTGTAATCCCAGCTCTTTGGCAGACCAGGGTGAGAGGATCACTTGATCCCAGGAGTCTGAGACCAGCCTGGGCAAGTTAGCAAGACCCTGTCTTTACAAAAAAATTTTAAAAATTAGCCAGGTATGGTGGCAAGCATCTTTAGTCCCCGCTGCTCAGGAGGCTGAGCAGGAGAGGATTGCTTGAACCCAGGAGGTTGAGGCTTCAGTGAATCATGATCACGTCACTGCACTCTAGCTTGGGCAACAGAGCAAGGCACTGTATAAAGAAAACAATTTTTTAAATTAAAAAAATTATTGAGGAGCCTGTGTTGTTCATTCGGTAGATGTGTATTGAATCCCCACTGTGTGCAAAGCATGTTTGCCTTGAGGATGTGCCAGAAACAAAATGATATGTCAGACAAACTGGGGAAAAAATAGGAGCATGAAAATTTTAAGGTTATAAAATAATAGGCCTCCCAAAAAAGATAATGCGTCACATAAATCTGAAGCAAGTGAATATGCTAATTAGAGAAGTAGCTTTGTGTCCCAGGAATGGTTTCTTGGGGAACAAAAATTTTGTCATCACTGATTAGTGAATGAATGGGTATACAGTATTTAATTTCTTTACAGTTGTACTGTAAAGGCAAGCTTCTTATCAATGCTATTCCAGAAGAAACTTAAACATCCATGAGATAATCTGAGAAATTCCAACTTTCCAGAACATGTTCCCTTCCTGTTCGCTTCAGGACCTCAGATATAGATGAAAGTGGGCAGAACTCTCTTTAGAGCTCAAAACAGAATCTTTTGCTTGGACAGTGGGGCCAGGTTGAGTTGGGAGCTGCCTGGCCTCCAGGTTTCCTCTACCCTCTAACGTAAACAAGATTCCTTTCACAAGACAAAACAGGCATGTACTCCTAGCCTGTGGAATTCTGAGGTATCCAAAGAGATGGTGATGGTGGTGGTTGTGGTTGCTGTTTTGTTTTTTGAGACAGGATCTCACCCTGTTGCCCAGGCTGAAGTGCAGTGGTACGATCATGGTTCACTGCAGTCTCCCAACTCCTTGGCTCAAGTGATCCTCCTGCCCCAGCCTCCTGAGTAGCTGGAGCTACAGGTGTGTGCCACCACACTGGCTAATTTTTTTCCCCCCTTTTTTGTAGAGACAAGGTCTTGGCTGTTTCCCAGGTTGATCTTGAACTCCTGAGCTCAAGCAGCCCTCCTGCTTTGTACTCCCAAAGTGCTGAGATTACAGGCATGAGCCACCATGCCTAGCCCAAGGAGACATATTCTAAGAATTTAAATGTTTTTGGATTAGTATGGAGGGAAAACCTAGTATCCCCATTGATTATTGACACTCCCAGGGATTTAAATTTGGATCATTCCCAGTCATTTTCAGCTTGAGTTCTTTGCTTCTTTGGAACTAGTACATTTGTTCCAAATTTCATAGTTTAAAGGGCTTTAAAAATTATTTCGTGTTTATGAAAGAGATGGGAGAACGTCTTTCTCTATTTTAATATGTATTTCCATGCATCTGAAACTATGTTTTTTAAAGAAATGTGTTAAAAACAAAGTAAGTAGTCTAAATTGTAGAGAGAAAGAAGCTAGTTGGTCTTTAGGCTTGATACTGTATCTGGGACTATTCAGACGAGTAGTCGGTGTCTTGTCCAGCTTTGAGCAGTCATTATGATATGATGCCATCTGGCATTTGTATGAAGCTTACTATTTTTTGAGGCCTTCTAACATGTGTTTTGCCATTTATGTGTTTCAGCTGCCCTGTGGGATGTTTCTATAGATGAACAGAGAAGTTTCTAAGAAGTTAAGAGATTTGTTCAAGATCATAGTTTGCCAGAGAGCAAGAACCCCCAGGTCTAATACATGTTATTTATTTATGTGTTTACCTTGTGCTTTACTGCCCCCAGCTGTTCACAGCTGAGTATTCATAGGTGCTGCTGACGCGCCTAGAGGCATGCAAAGGGAAGTGATCCAATTTGAGACTGCTCATTTGTCTTAATAGTTTGAAAATACATATACTTTAAAACAGTGCAGAAATGAGAATGAACAAGTTATGATAAATCAAGAGCAGAATTTTAGAGTTTTTGCTTTTTTTTTTTGAGATGGAGTCTCACTCTGTCAACCAGGCTGGAGTGCAGTGGCACAATCTTGGCTCACTGCAACCTCTGCTTCCCAGGTTCAAGCGATTCTCCTGCCTCAGCCTCCCGAGTAGCTGGGACTACAGTTGTGTGCCACCATGCCCAGCTAATTTTTTGTATTTTCAGTAGAGATGGGGTTTCACTGTGTTAACCAGGTTGGCCTTGATCTCCTGACCTTGTGATCTGCCCACCTCAGCCTCCCAAAGTGCTGGGATTACAGGTGTGAGGCACCGTGCCTGGCAAGCTTTTGCACTTTGACTCTATCATTTATTGTATTGTGATCTTGAGCAAGTAACTTGATACCCAACCCTTTAACCTTAACTATAAAATTGGAATGATATTGATAAATTTAACACTGAGTTAGGTAAGAGTCAATTGAGGGTGATGTATGTGGCATGTATTTTATGCACTCTAAAGCATGTAAGTTGGCATCTTTGAAACAATCTTCAGAATCACACTTCTTACCTCTCCTGGACACACAAACACAAGGTACTGCCAGAAACTGGGCAAGAGATTATTTGTGAATCTCAGAAGGGACCCAGTAAGAAAATGATGCTTTATTTTAGAATATGACCTAACTTAGGCTACAGGCACTCTTTCTGGCTCTAGCTCATGTCACAATTCCTTTTCAGGATTGAGGCCTGAAAAACCAGTTACTCACCATTCTTCCTACAAGGATTTATTTACTCATTAGGCTGGAGGGTCAAAGAGTCTCTTCTGTGGGGCAGAGGGGCTGGCCCAGCTTGCTTCTAATTGAGGATGAATGGTGAGAGAGGCAGAGGAGCTAAGTAACAGTTTTGTGATCTAGGACAAGCTTCTTGACCTCTGGTGTCATTTTCCCCATCAGTAAATCAGGGGGTAAATAAAACACCTAACAGTGTTTTAAAACAAGGTCAGCATATTGGCTGGGCGCAGTGGCTCACACCTGTAATCCCAGCACTTTGAGTGGCCGAGGCAGGTGGATTTTGAGGTCAAGAGATCGAGACCATCCTGGCCAGCATGGTGAAACCCATCTCTACTAAAAAATACAAAAATGAGCTGGGCATAGTAGCATGTGCCTGTAGTCCCAGTTACTTGGGGGACTGAGGCAGAATTGCTTGAACCTGAGGCGGAGGTTGCAGTGAGCTGAGATTGTGCCACTGCACTCCAGCTGAGTGACAGAGTGAAACTCCATCTCAAAAACAAACAAACAAAAACAAGGTCAGAATGTTATCTGAAACTTTTTCTTTTTATTTATTTTTTCTTGAGATAGGGTCTTGCTCTGCTGATCAGGCTGGAGTGCAGTGGCACAATCATGTTTCACTGCAGACTTGACCTCCCAGGCTCAAGCAATCCTCCTCCCTCAGCCTCCCGAGTAGCTGGGACTACAGGTGTGGGCCACCACACCTAGCTAATTTTTTATTTTCTATTGAGATGGGGGTATCACTCTGTTGCCCAGGCTGATCTCAAACTCCTGGGGTCAAGCGATCCTGCCACCTTGGCCTCCCAGAGTGCTGGGATTTGAGGCTTGAGCTGCTGTACCCTGCTGAACCTTTTTCTTAAAGGGCCAGATCTTTTAGGCTTTGCGGCTATGATTTTTGTTGTAACTCTTTAACTCTACTGTTGTAGCGTGAGAGCAGCCATAAACAGTATAAACCAATTAGGGGCCGGGCATATTGGCTCACACCTGCAATCCCAACTTTTTGGGAGGCTGAGGTGAGTGGATCACCTGAGGTCAGGAATTCAAGACCAGCCTGGTCAACATGGTGAAACCGCATCTCTACAAAAATACAAAAATTAGCTGGGCGTGATGATGGGTGCCTATAATCCCAGCTACTCAGGAGACTGAGGCAGGAGAATTACTTGAACCCAGGAGGCGAAGGTTGCAGGGAGCTGAGATTGTGCCACTGCACTTCAGCCTGGGTGACAGAGTAAGACTTCATCTAGAAAAAATAAAAAATAAACTAATTAGGGTTGCTGTCTTCCAGTGAAACTGTTTCTAAAAACAGGCTATAGGCCAGATTTGGCCTGTGAGCTATAGTTTTTAGACCCTTGCTTTAGAATACTTCACTAAATACTTGACCCTTTTTCTCCATCATACAAAATACTGATAGTGTTTTATTGCTGTCATGTATGCAGGGATGGTTTAAGTTTGAGCATTAATGAAAGGTTGAGGAAGAATGTGTGATGTTACATACCATTTTCTGTTCCACAGAAATAAGTTTTCAAATGTTCTGTTCATGCCTTCCCATCGCTTTCATTGTTTATACCAGTTGCTGTGCCTTCATTTTTTTCTAGTTATACTACAACTGTATTATGATCTGGCCCCTGTTTCAAAGATTATATTGTGCTAGATACCAAATAGAAAAATACATGTTTTTGAAGGAAAAGTGGGTCTTCTGTCAGTTTGAAAGTGTGTCCTTGTGAACAGATCTCGAAGGAGAGCAGTGTGCAGCCACTTCCAAGCCTTAGTCTTTTAGGAAGCATGTTTTTCCAGTAGGCACTTTGAACAGCAGCTTCCTCTTATGACAGACATACCCTCAAACATCAAACTTAGCATTAATCAGAGTTGGGGAAGTAGAGCTGTGTTATTTATTCTAATATTATAGTAGCAAAGACTGAGACTATTTAGTAGGCTGCCGGTAAATATGACCAGATGGTATCCAGCTGTGTAAGAGTTTAGAACGTAAGTATTAAGGTTTCAGGCACTAAACTTAGTCCTTTCTTGCATGACTACATAAAAACCTTAGATGAGCTTCAATAGAGACTATTTAACCTTCTCTTCTCTCTAGTCTCCTTAGCTTCCTTTGTATTCATTCATCTATTACATCTTCAAATAGTGAAGTGTATGACTTGCTCACCAAACCACCAGAGACCCCTCTGGAATGTGTTCAGTATACATCATTCCCGGAGTGGCTTGATAGAGTGACTGGCCCGTGGTCACCAGCTATTAGGCAGCAAGCAGCCAGTACACAAACATAGGTCTTTTAATTTCCAGATCAGTGCTGTTTTTCTCCTTGTGAAATTGTCAGTTTTAGATTGGTTTTATTTTGGAGAGTATAAGCCTTCTTAAGACTTGAAATGCTTTTTAGCTATTGTGATTGATAATGGCATAAGTCCTAAGGTCCGTCTGTATAAACATAAAAACCAAATTGTCTGTTAGTAAATAAACCCTACCCCCTCTTTCCCTCGTCCATCCATTTATTTTTTATTAATATTCTTCCTTTCTCTGTATCTCATAATCATTTAAAATACAACATTCTACAAACCTTAGCTCATTTAAATGAAGAAACCTAGAACTAACCTCAATAACTACTTGAGCAGTACTGGAACATAAAATGCTTGTGACAGTGCTGCCACTAGGGCAAAATACAGGTACATCTTGCAGATAGTGTGAGTTCGGTTCCAGACCACTGCAGTAAAGCTAACATCGTAATAAAGAGAGTCACGCAAATTTGTTGGTTTCCCAGAGCAAATAGAAGTTATGTTTATATTATAGTATATTAAGTGTGCAGTAGCATTATGTCTAAAAAATATCTTAATTTTAAAATACCTTACTGGTAAAAATGCTGATAATCATCTGAACCTCAGCAAGTCATAACCTTTTGCTGCTTGAGGGTCTTGATGATGAGGGCTGCTGATTTATTAGGGTGGTAGCTGCTGAAGGTTGGGGTAGCTTTGGCAATTTCTGTGGCCTTTTTTTTTGTATGTTTGTTTTGTTTTGTTTTTGAGATAGAGTTTCACTCTTGTTGCCCAAGCTGGAGTGCAATAGTGCAATCTCAGCTCACTGCAGCCTCCGTCTCCTGGGTTCAAGAGATTTCTCCTGCCTCAGCCTCCCGAGTAGCTGGAATTACAGGTGCCTACCACCATGCCCAGCTAATTTTTGTATTGTTGGTAGAGACAGGGTTTCACCATGTTGGCCAGGCTTGTCTCGAGCTCCTGACCTCAGGTTATCCACCTGCCTTGGTCTCCCAAAGTGCTGGGATTATAGGTGTGAACCACATTGCTGGGCTTTTAGCTTTTTTTTTTGAGACATGGTCTCACTCTGTCATCCAGGGTGGAATGCAGTGCCATGATCTTGGTTCATTGTAACCTCTGTCTCCCAGCTTCAAGCCATCCTCCTACCTAAGCCTCCCAAGTAGCTGGGACTACAGACACATGCCACCATGCCAAGCTAATTTTTGTATTTTCTGTAGAGACAGGGTCTCCCTGTGTTGCCTAGACTGGTCTTGAGATCTCAAACCCCTAGACTCAAGCGATTCTTGCGCCTTGGCCTCCCAAAGTGCTGGGATTATAGGCATGAGCCACTGCACCTGACCATGAATATTCTTAATGGAATTTAAAATGATGAGTCCTGTCTAGAAGGTTTTCAGTTTACTTTACTCAAATATGTCTGAGGAATCCCTGTCTTTGACAGCTATAGCCTTGTGAATGAAGTGTTTTTACGTTTGAGACAGTCTCACTCTGTCATCCAGGCTAGAGTGCAGTGGAGTGATCTCGGCTCACTGCAGCCTCATGCCTTAGCCTCCAGAGTAGCTGGGACTACGGGCATGCACCACCAAGCCCCGCTAATTTTTGTATTTTTAGTAGAGGTGAGGTTTCATCATTTTGGCCAGGCTGGCGTTGAACTCCCGATATCAGGTGATCCATTCACCTCTGCCTCCCAGAGTGCTGGGATTACAGGCATGAGCCACTGCCATGTATTTCTTCAATAAGAAATTTCGACTTGAATGTTGAAATTACTCTTTGATCCATGAGCTGCAGAATGGATATTGTGTTAGTAGGTATTAAAATATTAATCCCAGCCCAGCGTGGTGGCTCACTAACAATATACTTGGTCATCAAAAACTCTGATGGAGGCTGGGTGCAGTGGCTCACACCTGCAGTCCGAGCCCTTTGGGAGGACAAGGTAGGCAGATCACCTGAGGTCAGGAGTTTGAGACCAGCTTAGCCAACATGGTGAAACGCTGTCTCTACTAAAATTAACAAAAATTAGCTGGGCGTGGTGGCATGTGCCTGTCATACCAGCTACTCGGGAGGCTGAGGCACGAGAATTGCTTGAACCCAGGAGGCGGAGGTTACAATGAGCCAAGATGGTGCCAGTGCATTCCAGCCTGGGTGACAGAGCAAGAATGTCTCAAAATAAAAAACTCTGATGGAGATGGGCAAGGAGATTAATGTTTTTTGTTTTGTTTGTTTGTTTTTTGAGACAGATTCTTGCTCTGGTGCCCAGGCTGGAGTGCAGTGGTGCAGTCTGGCTCACTGGGTTCAAGCAGGTTTCCTGCCTCAGCCTCCCGAGTAGCTGGGATTACAGGTAGGTGCCCGCCACCATCCCTGGCTAATTTTTGTATTTTTAGTAGAGACAGGGTTTCGCCATGTTGCTGAGGCTGGTCTCAAACTCCTGACCTCAGGTGATCTGCCTACCTTGTCCTCCCAAAGGGCTCGGATTGCAGGTGTGAGCCACTGCACCCAGCCTCCATCAGAGTTTTTGATGACCAAGTATATTGTTAGTGAGCAGTAGTATTTTGAAAAGAATTTTTTTTTTTTCTGAGCAATAGGTCTGATTAGTCAACCATGTTGTAAACAGATGTGCTATCATCCAGCTTTGTTCCATTTATAGAGCACAGGCAGAGTAGATTTAGTATAATTCTTAAGGGCCCTCGGGTTTTTGGAATGGTAGGCTTCTCCTCGGTAGCTATAAAAATTCTTGATGGCATCTTCCAGTAAAAGTCCATTTTTTCTACGTTGAAATTGTTTAATGTAGCCAGTTGCGTCAATTATCCCAGCTAGATATTCAGGGTAACTTGCTGCAGCTTCTACATTAGCACTTAATGTTTTGCCTTATACTTTTATTTTATGGAGATGGCTTCTTTTCTTAAACCTCCTGAACCAACCCCTGCCAGCTTTCAACTTTCTTCTGTAGCCTTCTCACGTCTCTCAGCCTTCGTAGATTGAGGAGAGTTAGGGCATTGCCCTGGATTAGGCTTTGGCTTAAAGGAATGTTGTGGTAGGTTTGATCTTCTATCTAGACTTCTGAAACTTTCTTCATATTGGCAGTAAAGCTGTTTGCTTTCTTATCATTTGTGTGTTCACTGGAGGAGCACTTTTAATTTCCTTCAAGAACTTTTTCTTTGTAGTCACAGCTTGGCTGTTTAGTGCAAGAGGCCTAGCTAGTTCTTGGTCCATCTCAGCTCTTTTTTTTTTTTTTTTTTTTTGAGATGGAGTCTTGCTCTGTTGCCCAGGCTGGAGTGTAATGGTGCCATCTTGGCTCACTGCAACCTCTGCCTCCTGGGTTCAAGTGATTCTCCTGCCTCAGCCTCTTGAGTAGCTGGGATAACAGCCACCATGCCTGGCTAATTTTTTGTATTTTTAGTAGAGATGGGGTTTCAAGACGGGGTTTCACCATGTTGTCCAGGCTGGTCTCGATCTCCTAACCTCAGGTGATCCACCTGCCTTGGCCTCCCAAAATGCTGGGATTACAGGCGTGAGCCACCACTCCCGGCCCTGGCCTTTATTTTTCTCAATCTTTCTTAAATGTATGTATAGCTCATACTTATTTCAGTGTTTAATATTAGAAGTGTCTTGATCTTTATTTAGAAGTTTGGTGATGTTTTTGTGACCAGAAATATGTCATAGGAACTAACTCTTACTTATATCAGTTAGCCTTTGCTAAAATTGGTTTTTTTCTATGTTTGGCTTAAGTTGCAATTTCTAGGAGTGTATCGAAGACATTAAGGGAGGACTTACTCTGCTTTAATTGGAAGCAGAATTGGTCAAGAATTGAGTTTCATTTTAGGGGAGCTTTCTGTGGTCTTTTCCCCTTGAACAGTTGTTATGATGTTAGTTTCAGGTATTGTCTCCCAACAACATCTGTTTGGTTTTATTTACCTCAAAGGGCTGTGTCATGGGTTTAGGCGTGTCTAAGGAAGAGTTTAGTATAGAGAATGAAGTACATGCCAAGGAATTGAGAGCTGAACTGAAGTCTAAAGGTACTGAGTTTCAAAAACCAGGTCATATTGCAATAAAACCTTAGATTTCTTTTTATTTATGAGGTTGATAATTTTGATACATCCTGTTGTTCCATGCCCAGGCATATCACTAAGGGAAGATTTGGCAGGCATGGTACCTGGTTAGAGCAAGAGCTTGAAAGATTTCCAAGATAATTTTAAAAGAGGAGCACTCTGATTTTGGGATGTTTTAAAAACTTCTGAGGTCTCTTTAAGAATGATAAAGAGTAACTGGATATAAAGAATAACAGCTAGATTGCCCACTCTTGAATGGTCTGATTAAATCATCTCACTTCTGCATGATTTTCTCCTTATCTTTTTGCTAATGGATGTCCAGGCAGAGGTATTTATCCTCATCCTATTTACCCATTGTCATTAATATTTCAGACTTTGCTAATCTATCCTGGTCACTTTTCTGAAGAGGTTCTGACTTTCAAAAGATTTACACTTGGGAATGGTCTGCACCCACCTCTTACTTTTAAATTTCCAGCCTTTAAGTCTGCCTTGAAGCTTCCAGGACTGTCTTAGATGTTTTTATGTGTCCTTTCTGTCATCCCCTTTTATTTTAAATTCACTTCAGTAAGTCAGTTTCAGGTAGATTTCTGATTGTAGTCCTTGCTCTAACATCGCAGAGCTCACTTATTCTAAGCTTACTGAAATAAGCTTGTATAACCATTTCCTCTGGTTCTTCAGGCAATTCCAATAAGTATTTCAGGGTCAAGCTTTCCAAGATTCACTTTTTTTCTCAGAAAAGCCATACCCAGCAACTGTCTTGCCCCTCCAGTTAGGGGTAGTTATCGGACTGTGAGGGATCCAGAGATGAATCATATGCAGATCCTACCCTCAAGGAGCTTGTATATCAGGAGGGGAAATAAGACATACACACTGATGTGTATGTCACACAAAGTATCCTACAATGATTGTACAGGGTAATATGAGGACAGAAAGAGAGGTGCAGATCAGGGACTTCTTAAGGCTCCCAAGAAGGAGGGACCATTTCCAGAAAGCAATAGTGAAGACTTCCTGGAGAGATAGTAACTCCGTTGAGTGCCTGCAGTCCCAGCTACTTGGGAGGCTGAGGTAGGAGGATTGCTTGAGCCCAGGAAGTAGAGGCTGCAGTGAGCCAAGATCATGCCACTGCACTCCAGTCTGGGCAACAGAGCAAAACCCTGGGACAGATTTTGCAGAGAAAGAGTGTGGAGATCCACCTTTCTCAGCCTCCTGAGTAGCTAAGACTTACAGGTACGTGCCACAATGCCTATTTAAAAAAATTTTTTTTTTCTTTTTTGAGATGGAGTCTCGCTCTGCTGCCAAGGCTGGTGTGCAGTGGCATTATCTTGGCTCACTGCAACTTCCTCCTCCGAGGTTGAAGTGATTCTTTTGCCTCAGCCTCCCAAGTAGCTGGGTTTACAAGCATGTACCACCACGCCCGGCTAATTTATTTTGTATTGTATTTTTAATAGAAACAGGATTTTACCATATTAGCCAGGCTGGTCTTGAACTCCTGACCTCAAGTGATCTACCACCTCAGCCTCCAAAAGTGCTGGGATTACAAGCATGAGCTTGTAACCTAAAGAGTTTTTGTTTTGGAGACAGAGTATGACTGTGTTGCCCAGGCTGGTCTCAAACTACTGGCCTGAAGTGATTCTCCTGTCTCAGCCGCCAGAGTTGTTGAGATTACAGACATAAGCCATAGCACTCGGCCTCCTCTTACTTTTAAATACACTCTTTCCCTTATTATCCTAGAAGATGAACCCAGCACATTTTCCATAGGCTTGTAGATGTTGTAAATGGACTACTTCTGTAGCAGAATCAATTTACTTGCAATTAATGCATTAAAATAAGAGGTGATGATTAGCTAAGGTTGCTTTATTATTTTTCTTCTTCTCCTTCTCCTCCTTCTTCTTCTTCTTCCTCCTCCTCCTCCTCCTCCTCCTCCTCCTTCTTTCTTCTTCTTCTTTTCTTCCTTTTTTTTTTTTGAGACAGAGTCTCTCTCTGTGGCCCAGGCTGGAGTGCAGTGGCGCGATCTTGGCTCACTGCAACCTCTGCCTCCTGGGTTCAAGCAGTTCTCCTGCCTTGGCCTCCTGAGTAGCTGCGCCACTATACCCAGCTAATTTTTGTATTTTTAATAGGGACGGGGTTTCACCATGTTGGCCAGGCTGGTTTCAAACTCCTGACCTCAGATGATCAACCTGCCTTTGCTTCCCAAAGTGTTGGGATTGTAGGCATGAACTACTCTGCCTGGCCTGCTTTATACATATATTTTTAATTATTAGGGTGTTTTTAAAGCTTCATGCAAAGAATGGATCTGCTTTAGGGAAAGCCTTTTGAATAAAACTACTCACCTTTTCCAGGAATTTACGTTAACAATTTATATTCTTCTGAGAGATATTACTAATAATATCTGCAAAGATGCTAGAAAACATGCTCCAAACCTTTTTCTCTTTTCCCTGTGGGAAGATCTTGTGTCCTTCAAAGGAAGAGGACCTTTTCTTTTGAAGTCAGGAATTTATAAAAAGAGTTTGCTGAATGGAAGAATCATAAAGGCCATAACTCTAAAACCTAATGTAAAGAAGAACAGTTATAGAGCTGTCCAAAGATGGGAAAGAATGTCTTACAATAAGCCAGTTTCCTGGAACTAGAGTGTGAGGCACTCAAATTCTACCTTAAGTGGCTGGTTGACCACTTAAGGTAGAATCACCTGGGGTTAGACAAAGGTTGAAGAAAAGCTGCGAGCATCTTATGAAGAGGTGGACCTGAGTGTCTCATTACGTCTTTTTTTTTTTTCAGTCCTAAAGTTCTGTGATGCAGTAAAATATAAAGAATATTATCGACTTGTATTTTTTGCCTTTATCTGTTTGGGGTTTCCTAATGTAGATGGGCTTCTGAATTTTAAAACTTAACCTTTAGTAAATTTTCAGTTCAAAAAAAATTTAATAACTTCTCTTTTGTACTTAACTTCCACTACCACAGTATGTGGCTCTGAGCCAGCCAAAGATCATGATCTGTTGACTACACAGATGTTTGGGGGCTGATCATGCCTGCACATCCATAGTTGGGATAGTTCAAAATTTAAAAGCAAACTGCACAGATGGTTCTAGAACTGCTTTTTGAATTGAGTACCTTTATAATGTTTTGGGGGCATATCAGAGGACAGCCAGAACTTGTTATCAGACTTTTAAATTGTACAGATCTTTGTACTCCAACTAAACCTACCCATCCATTAACAAGTATATGGAGATATCATCCTCGCAACTGTGCATCTTTCTCCTTTGACCTTAGCAATTTGCATGGCAGATTGTGCCAAGAGGAGGCTTGTCCATGGACCCATACAATAGAAGGTTAGATTCTTTTTTTTTTTTTTTGAGACGGAGTTTCGCTCTTGTTACCCAGGCTGAAGTGCAATGGCGCGATCTCGGCTCACCGCAACCTCCGCCTCCTGGGTTCAGGCAATTCTCCTGCCTCAGCCTCCTGAGTAGCTGGGATTACAGGCACGCACCACCGTGCCCAGCTAATTAGATTCTTTTAAAGTTTCTTGATAATTATTTTTATTTCCAGAAAGATATTTTTGTTTGCCCCATTTGAAAAAGGTTAAATTGAGTCACTCTCTTCATTGTCTTGAGTACCTTGTAGGAAACTATTAATAATGATAAATAACTAAACTTCTCTAGATTATCTTAATTTTGTTGTTGTTGCTGTTCTCAATACATCTAAGAGAGTACCATATAGGACATGTGTATTGATGATAAGTGAAAATACAGGGGTCTTACTTGGTTATTTAGGACTTAAGATTTTATCTAGTCATTTTCAACTGTGATTGAACACTTCCCTTTAACTCCCTTCAGAAACTCCAAGATCATATTGCATCCCAGGTACTAGAATTTCTGTTGATGTATAGAGCTGTTTATAGGCCTCTAGCACCAGAAATTGGCTCCAAACCTTTTCCCATTACATCATCACCCACTAATGTCATTACACCAGAATGAAATCTGCTTTGAAGCTCGTATTCTTGTTTTCCTTCCATTTCATTCCCCTCATCATTTCCTTTAGAAGGAAAAGGGAAGAAAAAAAATCAGACCTGTAAACATTTAAGGGTGAATTGGACATCCCCATAGGCTAAACCCTAGAGTTGTCAGCTTTCATTCCATTCTGCTGTGATAGTGTTCTGCCCAGTGTGTATCCACATGGAGCCTGGAAAGTAACAAGTATGTTCATGTGACAACTGGCTTTGGTGCTTTTCTTTCAGCCCCTCAGAATTAGTTCTTAATGACTCACATAGATCTCTGCCAGCATCCTGTCACTGGCATGTTAAACCTTTTCAAGTAATTCCTCAGAATAGAAAGTCTTAGGAGAGCACTAAGTTTCTCCATTCTTTGTGTTTAATTAAAACTGTTCTTGCATTTAAATATTTGCTAGATACGCGCTTAAGACATTACAATACAGGTTGAGTATCCTTAATCTGAAAATCTGAAATCCAAAACTCTGAGCCCTGACATGACGCCCAAAGGAAATGCTCATTTTGGATTTTGGATTTTCAAATTTGGGATGCTTAGCCATTAAGTATAGTGCAAACTTACTCCAAAAAAAAAAAAAAAAAAAGGCCGGGCACGGTGGCTCACTCCTGTAATTCCAGCACTAGCACTCCGAGAGGCCGAGGTGGTTGGATCATCTGAGATCAGGAATTTGAGACCAGCCTGGCCAACATGGTGAAACCCCATCTCTACTAAAAATACAAAAAAAGCCGAGTGTGGTGGCAAATGCTTGTAATCCCAGCTACTTAGGAGGCTGAGGCAGGAGAATCTCTTGAACTTGGAAGGCGGAGGTTGTGGTGAGCTGAGATTGTGCCACTGCACTCCAGCTTGGGCAACAAGAGTGAAACTCTGTCTAAAAAAAAAAAGTCAAAATTCCAAAAACTTCTGGTCCCAGGCATTTCAGGATTTCATTCAGATAAGGGATACTCAACCTGTGTTATATACAGTTACAGCTGACATGGGACTCCTTATTCGTCTTCCTTCCTTCATCACAAAAAGGTTGACTAAATGCAGGTTCTCACCCTCTTTCTCTATTCTAATTTTAATTCTCCTTTGTTTTTTGTTTTTGAGATGGAGTCTCACTCTGTCACCTGAGCTGAAGTGCAATGGCCCAATCTCAGCCCACCGAAACCTCTGCCTCCCTGGTTCAAGCAATTCTTCTGTCTCAGCCACCCAAGTAGCTGGGATTACAGGCATCTGCCACCATGCCCAGCTAATTTTTGTATTTTTAGTAGAGACGGGGTTTCACCACATTGGTCAGGCTGGTCTCGAACTCTTGACCTAAGGTGATCCACCCACTTCAGCCTCCCAAAGTTTTGGGATTACAGATGTGAGCCATTGCACCTGACCTCTCCTTTGTTTTTTTACCTGTCTTTAAGGCCTCCAGTTGCCAGTGTGCTGTGTTAGGCTTTGTGTCTAATAACATGGTTCAGGTTAGGAAGGAACTGGGAAGAACTGGCAAGTAGTTTCATTTCAGAGACTTCATGTTTCCTTCTCAGTTATTAGGCGTATGTCCTTTGAGGCAGATTTGCCTGAGATTAGAAGGAATCATCATCATCAGGAGCCGTAGAGAAATGGGGCCACAGTGTCTGAAACAAAAGAAGAAACCTGGCACACGCTCTCTCTCCCTCTCTTTTTTTGAGACAAGTCTTGCTATGTTGCCCAGGCTGGTCTTGAACTCTTGGGCCCAAGCAATCCTGCCTCAGCTTCCTGAGTAGCTGGAACCACAGGCATGCACCATTGTTCCCAGCTCGGGTCTTATTTTTTAAGACTCTGGGTTTACATTTCTGTACAGTATTAATCACTGAAGACTTTTAATACAAAAATTTGCTGAAGGCTCTGGCATGGAGTATGAGAAGCCACGAGTACTTGAAAACGCTTTGGAGGGAATGGCATTGAAAATTATGGGCTAGACTAGGGCAATAAAGTACTTTCCTCACCCCATACACAGAAGCCCTTGATTCACATTAGGATTTCAGCTTACATTTCTAGCATCTTTTGATTTTCTAGTTGGAGCTCTTCAGTAGTCTCTATGGTATAAGCTATGTAGAAGGAAAACTTTCTTCCCAGTGTTTTTGTTAGGATGTAAGTCTCTGTTAAAATCTTCTTAGCACAATTGTATGCCTTATCAGACTGAAAAATTGAATAGATTCATACATCCACAAAGATACAAATGCCTAATCTGGACAGAAAATCTGAGTTTATTCTTCCTAATGTGTCTTATGTATGTGTTTGTTTTCAGTTGTCGAAATGTCCGCAGAAGGAGGATTTGGTGGTACTAGCAGCAGTGATGCCCAGCAAAGCCTACAGTCCTTCTGGCCTCGGGTCATGGAAGAAATTCGGAATTTAACAGTGGTGAGGAAGAATGAGAAACTTTTATTAGAAACTTTTAAAGCATGTAAAGAGCCGTGGGAAATTAACCAAAACTCACACTAAAGCATTTTTAATTTCAAGCACATTTACAAAAGTATAGTTCATCCCTGACCTATGGGTAGGAAAATGAAAATATAATTTGCCTTGTGTGAGTTAACTACAAGGGTGCCTTTTATATTTCAGTGATCTTCCATAGGCTTGTGGGTGTATAGTGGGTACTTTGATTTGGAGGTAGTTAATGTGAGACATATCCTTTAGGACTAGTAGAAAAACAGATCTCATCTTCTTTCAGTAGCTGTAGCTCAATTTCTTAGACCTGATTTAGTGGCCCTGCCACATTTCTAGAACTTGGTAAAAACTATTGGGCAATTTATTCAACAACAAATCTGTTGTGAGCCAGGAACTCTTTCCAGGTGTTAAAAGATACACTTTGATCAGTTTCTCAACAGCTGCATTTTTGACATTTTGGGTCAGTTAATTCTTTGTTGTGAGGGGCTGTCTTATGCATAATAATAGCATGTTTAGCAGCACCCCTAGCCTCTACTCACTAGATGCCAGTAGCACCTCTCCCCCAGTTGTGGCAACGAAAAAATGTCTCCAGACATTGGCAAATTTCCCCATGGGCAAATATCATCCCCTGTTGAGAACTACTGACTCAGAAGAATTAAATATAACCTTGGCCTGTGAGGAGCTTACAATCTAGTAATTACCACCAGAGTCATTTAGTCAATAGGTATTTATTAAGTACTTACTGAATCAGGCACAGTGATGAGTCCTGAAGAGGTAAAAGTCAAGGAGCACAGAGGACATAGTGCTTGTTTCTTTCTAACTCATCAGGGAAGGCTTTAAGTAAAAGGAACACTGTTTTTGGGTCTTTTTTTTTGGGGGGGTGTCTTAAAATATGAGTTTAGCATTCACCAGATGGGAAGAATGAATGGGGGAGTTTATCTTGGGCAAAGACAAGGGCATGCATAAAGACTTGAAGGCCCAGAGTTATAGTTCCTCTAACTATAAGGTTGAGGAACAAAGACATTTAGAGTGCATGGAGGTTACTGTGTATTTATTGGAGGTTGAGGGAAGAAGTATGTGGTATGAGAATGGTAGTGGAAGGTGAGGCAGGTTAGAATTGGAATATTTTCATAATACAGTTGTCATGTCCTTCATGAAGAACGTTCATTAGGGTGTCATTTTAACACATACTGAAGGAGCTCCCTATGTTGGCTGTATCATTCCTGCCTTGGAAATACTAGCATCCTGGCAGAGCAGACATTGCCTTCTTTCCTGATCTAGAATTAATGTTGCAGTTGCTTAGGGTTAGTGACCTTTAACCTCTGACATTACAATGTCAGTTTATTCATTCACTTAACAAATACTTATGCACCAACTAAGGCTATTCTAGATACTGTGGATACAGTAATGAACCAGACAGGATCATTGCACTTATGGAACATATATTCTGATGAGACAGGGTAATAAACAAGTAACTAATGAAATAACATAGTATAATAAATGCTCACTGACTTCAGGGATAAAAAGTAATTCATGTTTTGGATATACCTTTGGGTCATGTTTGTTTATAGGAAGAGTTTTCAGCAATTGAACTTGGCTTGGCCTTTCTCAGACTGGCCTGGGTTCAGAGTGGATTTCCACTAAAAAGTCATTGTTTCTCTTCTGCAGTCTAGGTAGTAGTTATCCAAACTGTCTCAGATATAAAAGAGAAGGGAGGAAAAAATGAAATTATGAAGTCAAATGTGGGGTGTTTTGTTCATATTTTAGGGGGATAATCTCATGATTAACCTTACCAGCTTTTGGTGCTGGGGTCAGCCTGGTGTAAAACGGATGCCCTCCTGGGGTGTGGTGGGACGGGGCTGATCGAGCAAGTCTGTGCCACAGCTTGAGCCGGGAGACATAAATCCAGGATCAGGCAAGTGGCCAGATAAACTCTTGAGGTTTAAGCTCAGCACTTAACTTTTCTGTTTTGTTGGACTTTGATTTTTTGTTGTTGTTGTAGTAAAAACATAAAATTTTGCTCCTTACCTACCCATTTTTAAATGTACAGTTTAGAAGTGTTCAGTATATTCACATTGTTGTGAAACATCTCGAGAATTTTTTCATCTTACAGTACTGAAACTTGACTCTGACTAAAACAACCACCATTCTGCTTTCTATGAATTTGACTATTTTTAATACCTCATAGAAGTGGAATCATATTATACAAACAGTCCCCTACTTATGATTCAACTTAATGTTTTTTTCCACCCTAGAAGGGTTAGAAAGTGATGTGCATTCAGTAGCAGCAGTACTTTGAGTACCCATTCAACCATTCTGTTTTTCACTTTCAATATATAAATTATGAGATACTCGACACTTTGCTATAAAATAGACTTTGTGTTAGATTTTTAGCATTTAATCTGTGCCTTTCCAGAACTCAACAGTACTTAAAACCAGACTTCTTCAGATATGGCAGGGCTACTTAGGTTGACACCTGATCTAACAGATTAAAAAAAATTCCTCATGTTTAAACTACCCAATCATAAGTAAAACTTATGAGAATGTTCATAAGGTGTTGTGATCTCAGACTGGGACACAAATTGTTCCAAAAAGAAGTAATTGAAGTTTGCTGGCTGATGTATTTCATGATGTGTTAGAAACACTGTCCTCAAGTCCTTTTGGTTTGAGTCCTGTAAAAGCAATTTATCTTTCATTTTACCTTGTTCTTACAACACTTAAAAGCTCTGCCGTTGTCTATAAATCCAGGTGGTGTTCAGCTGGGATCGAAATTAGTTAAAAACCATACCAAGATGATTATGCACCAAAGTGATTGTGTAAAATACTATATTCCTGCTCAGCAGAGCTCTAAGAACAATAAATAACAGACTTTGCCCCACTGGGCCTCTTTGAAGGTGGGGAAGAGAAAGCTAACTTTGTCTTTTTGGAGGTGAGTTGGGGGTGGGTGGGCAATGATGCTGAATTTCGAAAAGAAAAATCTAATTCTGTACTTACTGTCTGCATCCCATTCAGCCTTCAATTAACTGTAATTTAATGCCTAGGTCACTTTCTTTTAATTGGCAGTTTCACCTTTTTATTCCTCAGTGCCTCCTGATTCAGGGATAACATTTCTAACATTACAATCAAATCAGATAACTGTTTAAACAAACTTGGTGGTGAAGACTGGGGGACTCTTAAAAAACAGGTCCTGTGCTGTGTGAGCCCTTCCCATAGAGCAGTGCTTCTCAAACTTTATTTTCTGTATTAACCACATGAGAGAGGATCCTCTTAAAATATTGGTGCTGATTTAGTAGGGTAGGAATGGAACCTGGGATTCTGTGTTTGAGTTCCCAGGTGATGTCATTGCTGGTCTAAGGACCTCACTTTGAGTAGCAGGGCTGTAAAACAGTAGTCCTTAACTCCCACTTAGATCACAGTAACAAGGGGAGTTTTCAAAAAACATAATGCCAGTACTCTACCCACTAGAGCAGGGGTCCCCAATTCCCGGGCCACAGACTGTATGGGTCCATGGCCTGTTAAGAACCTAGGAACCAGGCTGCACAGCATGAGGTGAGTAGCTAGTGAGCAAGCATTACCACCTGAGCTCCACCTTCTGTCAGATCAGCAGCGGCATTAGATTCTCCTAGGAGAATCTAAGAGAATCTAGATTTAGATTCTCCTATTGTGAACTGCACATGTGAGGGATCTAGGTAGCATACTCCGTATGAGATTGTAATACCTACCCTGCCCATCTTTGGGAAAATTGTCTTCTACACAACTGGTTCCTGAGGTTGCGGACTGCTGTCATAGAGTTCCTGATTCAGCTGGTCTCCAGGAGACAGCTCAGGTATCTTGTTTTTCAGGTGATTCTAACATGCAGCCAAGATTCAGAATCACTGTTTTCAAAGGGTGGAGAATCTTGACTTTGCCAGAGTAGGCCTGGAAAAGGTTTCTCTTTATTATTTGAAACTCTGGATTTTCCTTAGTGCAGCCCAAGATTCATTGACTTTTCTTTGGCTCCAAACTCTCATTGAGTGAATTCAGGTTTTAGTTCATCTTGAAATGCAAGTTTCAGATGGCAGCATTTTTAATGTAGTTCTTTGGTAGTGGTGAGGAACATGAGAATGTTCTGAGAGGTAGTTTGCTCTTCTGCCTTACTGACGTTAACTCCCAAAAGTAGGAGGGGAAAAAGTATGTCATTTGTTCTTAAAATTGTAAGTATCAGTATTGGGAGAAGATCAGTATCGGGAGAAGGAGTTAAGGAGTTAAATGTTACTCACCTCAGTTATGGTACCCAGTGAAGTGGGGAGCATGAGTTGAAAGTCAGTTTCGTGGGCCTCAATCTACTGATTGTAAAGGCCTTAATCCTTCCATGTAACTAGAAAGCTAGGATAGGATTATAGAAAACTGGGTGATTGTCAACAGGGATGAACCATACACACACCTCAGTATCCACTTTGACACAGTGCCCCTTGAGATCTCAAAGTTTCAGGAACATGAAAAAGTAGTTTGTCACAAAGAAAAGCTTTGAGAAAGGGATTAAAGCAGAGCTTATTATAAATTTCTGCCTCATTTTACATCTCTGTAAGGTGGGAGTGATCTCTTGATCCTTAACTTTCGTTGCTTTTGATTAAAGAATGGAAATTGAAATAGTAAGACTTTATTACTCTTTCAGTTTGGGGAAAGAGGTCTTTTTTATCAGCTTTGGGCTTTAGTTAAGTAATTATGGAACATTCTTGTAGAAACGATATTTAAAACCAAGCCAAATGAGAGCACACTTGCAAGAGAGCTAAACACAATCTTATGCTGTATGTATTAGCCTGGGAGGCTTTGCAAAGCATTCTCTGGCATTTCTGTGTAGTGTCATCATCTTTTGTGATATGCCATACAAGAAGGAAGACCAGTGGTTGATTTCTGGTATTAAACATAAAAAAAAAAAAAAAATTTAGGATCTGGCCCCAGCCCAGTATTCTCCTTCCTGCTTCTCCCCTCTGTACTCAGATCATAGATTTAAAACTTAAATAGGCTGTGATTTTTTTTGTATCTCTTTCTGTCTTTGTTGTTCTCTCTGAATAACATTCTTACACTTTTTCAACAGGCAAATTCTCAGCATCCCTTAGACACAGTTCAGATGTCATCCCCTTCGTGGAACATTTCCCAATCCCTCACTCTCCCTCCATTGCTAGCTGGTTGTTCCCTTCTTTGTGTCCCTGTGGGATTTTATATCCCTCCCCTCCAGTATTAGATAGGGGACTATAATGTTTTCATGTGACTGTCTCTGACAAACAACAAGCTCTTCAAAGGTAGGAGTAGATGTGTGTCTTTTATTTCTTTCTTTTTTTTGTTTTATTTTGTTTAATAGTGATGGGGTCTCACTTTGTTGACCAGGCTGGTCTCGAACTCCTGGTCTCAAGGGATTCTCACACTCAGCCTTCCGGAGTGCTGGGATTACAGGTGTGAGCCACTGTGCTCAGCCTACATGTGTAATTTTTGCACAGTAATAGGTACCATATATTTACTGTTAGTTGAGTTGCTTGAATCAGTAAGTGAAAGAGCAAGGGGGAGAAAAAAATAGAATGAATGTGCCCTATTGTCTCCTTTTGTTGAAAGTTTAATAAACTGAACTTCTAAGTCTGTTACTCCAGGGTTAGTTTTAGTAGAGGCTTCATAGAAAATATTGATACCTAATTTAGAAAAGGAAAAGATGAAAAATTGGTGTTTGAAGTTTATAGAGCAGAGTGGTAGCCAAGCAGCGTGTTGGGTTTGTGTGGGAAAATTAGATGTCTTGGTGTACATTTTACCTCAATACATTCTCTTCTTTCTGCAGTCGTAAAATAGATTCTGGGAAGACTATTGATGTTTTTTCAAAATACCTTTTTTGACATATATTTGAGATTTTCTGTTGGTCTTGCAAAAGAAAGTTCACTGATGCTTGTTAATTACATCAAATCTCAAATAATAGCTACTCATTCCATAATGTGAGGATGCAAATTCCCAGGTGAGCATATTGGGTTTAGTGAGTCACATTTCAGACCACTTACAGAATCAATCATTTGACACCTAGTCCCAGTAGAGATTTTGCTGATTTTAGCTAATATCTGCCTTTGCACCTTTCTCTTCATTGCAGCTCTGAAACTCAAAATTGATTTTTTTCCTAGAATTGCATTTAAACGCAATGCATGCATTTAAATACCAGTAGTTTCAAAATAAAGCCAAAAAGGGCTTAAATTGCAAATTATTGAGTAGTGCTGGTCAAAAAAGCCCTTTGCTAAATTCTATCCGGAATGAAGTTATGTGGTCCTCCCCCACTCCAGGACTGTTTTTTGTTGTTTTTTTACTTTGTCTCCCAGATCCCTTTTGTTTACATGCCTGTTTGTTAAGAAAAAAAATAGCACAGCTGTTCCTAAAAGGCAGCTGATAAATTCACTCTCATCCTTTTTCTATGCTCCTCTGTCCCTACTTGAAACAAATTTTGGAGACAAAGCCATTGCTGCTGTGATGAGAAAGAAGCTCTCTTCCCCAGTTTCTGTTGTCAGGTTAGTCCAAACGTCAGAAATGGCCACTATCAGCTGTAAAGAACTATGGGTCACTGTGGTCAGGTGCCCCTGGCATTGCTGTTACAGACTAGTCACTGAATGGAAGAAAGAACTGGCAGTTTAGAGGAATACCCCTGAGACAGAAGTCTCATTTTAATCTGCATATTGCAGACTGGTAAACTTACTTGGAAAAAAGAGAAGGTGCTCAGAATGTCCTTCTACGTTGTGCTGACGCAAACAAAACAATCGTATTGCTTGGGGCTACTTTTTATGAGGGCACTGTTAGAGGCCATCCTCACTTTTTTCTAAAGCCCATTAATTGTTGGAAGACCTGCATGGCTTAAGTAAAGAATAATTTTCATTTGACGCTTGTATTTTCTTCATTTCATCTGTACTTCCTCTCCTAATATACTTCCTGAAAGGAGGGACTAAGCCCCAGAGTGTTTCCTACTGCCTGCCATGCCACACTGTTGATTGTCCCCACCATTTATGCACCTCTTGTTGTTCATTTCAGAAAGATTTCCGAGTGCAGGAACTCCCACTGGCTCGTATTAAGAAGATTATGAAACTGGATGAAGATGTGAAGGTGAATTCACATTCATTTTTATTATTTCTTATTGAAGCTATGTGATGGGTAGGTTATTGCTCATTTCTCTAGAGCTCAAAGTTTAATTAAACAAAAACACAAAAAAATCACTGTCTGTTGCTTTGTTATTCGGTTCCTGTTTAAAATTGTTAAGTGAGCCAAAATTGAACAGTTTTGGTTGCTATATGGGTCATCCTGAAAATTAAGGATATCCTGGTTTTAGATGTTGAAAAAAATAATTGTTGTGGGTTTTTTTTGTTGTTGTTGTTTGTTTGTTTTTAATCAGTTGATCCCTCCCAGCTTTGCTTTTTTGGAGTGTTTTACTCTATCACCCAGGCTAGAGTGCAGTGGTGCAATCTTGGCTCACTGAAACCTCTGCCTTCCAGGTTCAAGTGATTCTCATGCCTCAGCCTCCCGGGTAGCTGGGATTACAGGCACCTGCTGCCACATCCAGCTAATTTTTGTATTTTTAGTAGAGATGGGGTTTCACCGTGTTGGCCAGGCTGGTCTCAAACTCCCGACCTCAGGTGATCCGCCTGCCTTGGCCTCCCAAAGTGCTGGGATTACAGACGTGAGCCACCACGCCTGGCCTTTTATTTCTTTTTGAGACAGGGTCTTACTCTGTCACCCAGGCTGGAGGGCAGTGGCACAATCATGGCTCACAATCATTACCTCCCAGGCCCAAATGATCCTCCCACCTCAGCCTCCCAAGTAGCTGGGACTACAGATGTGCCATCATCTCTGGCTAATTTCTAATATATTTTGGAGTGGGGACAGGATTTCACTATGTTGCCTAGGCTAGTCACAAACTCCTGGGCTCAAGCAGTCCTCCAACCTCAGCCTCCCAAAGTGCTAGGATTAGGCGTGAACCACTAGGCCAAGCTGGTATTTCACAGTTCCTTGCACAGTGTAGTATATACATGTATTACCAAATCAACAGGACAGTACCATTATCTTAGCATCTTATAATGTATATTTTGTTGATCTAAACTCTTAAGAAATTTTTGATAATGTGTCTACCTTTTCTATCCTTTTGATCTGTGAGTTTATTTTACATGAGTAGTACTTGTGAGGGGGTACGCTTGGGCTTGGCTATTTCTGTATTCCTAGGAGTCCATCTCCATTAAAGATCTCAGAGAAAGAGCAACTGTCTCTTTACCACTCAAAATTAATAGTCTTTTGTATTTGCACAGAAAACTAACAATTGATAGCAATTTTCCCTTTTATTAGCTCCTTTCTTCCTTACGGTAGCCCTGTGAGATTTGATATAATAAGAATTATCAGTTCCATTTTACAGACAATGGAAATAGACACAAAGAGGTTAAGTGACTCACCCAGAGTGATAGGACCAAGATCTTATTTCTCATCTACTGCTGCTTTAACTCCAGAGCCCTTTCTGTGGCTGTAGCCCGCACAGACTACCTCACCAAAGGCTGAGAACCTTATTTGACCAAGAGCTTCAACTTTGAAGTCAGACATATCAAGGAGGTTTATATGCTTGAGCACTTACTATGTACCAGGCCCTGTGCTGGGTCATGTATTACCTCATTTGATTCCCACAATAAAACTGGAAGGTTATCCTCTTTTTCAGTATGTACAAAACAAAGCCCAAAAGGATGGGAAGCCTGCAATTTTACCCAAGTCCATCAGCTTTCGAGCTTATTCTCCTTCCCCATATTGTTTCTCCTCAGATTAGAACCTAAACCCTACTGACTCTGGCTATGGGAAAATCACTTCATCGTTCTTAAACCCTGGTTTCTTTGAAAGGCTATTGTAAGGGTAAGAAAGCACCTTGCACAAGGTTTGGCACATGGTAGGTGCTAATAAGTATTCTTTCTCCTTGCTCCCTTGTTGCCGGCTTTGTTCCTACTCATGGATTTATTTTACCTTGGACTCTCTGGAGCATACCACCTCATTTTTTGACCCTTGCCCCATAGTTTCATGCCAGGCAATGAGGCAAGAGACAAACTGGTTTGAATGACTTACCGGTGATTGACAGGGAGGGCCTGTGTCTGTTACAGATGATCAGTGCAGAAGCCCCTGTACTCTTTGCCAAGGCAGCCCAGATTTTTATCACAGAGTTGACTCTTCGAGCCTGGATTCACACAGAGGATAACAAGCGTCGGACTCTACAGGTATTATTGCAGACTTAGATTGGGAAAACTGGGGTAAGCAGTTGCCTTTGCCTGTTCTCCTGTGTGGCTTTGGACCAAAGATTATTGTTGTTCTTTAGCCCTCTATCAATTGGACATGTAATTGGCATCTCCACCGTTGGGAGGCAGACTTACCTTTCAGTCATGATTGTGTTTCTCCACCAAAAATTTAATTCTGTCCTGATTTTCACAGCTTAGTGGCTGAACTCCTTTCTGTTGGTGACCCCTCACTGTAAACAGATGCTCAAGTGATAGAGTATTTACCTGTTTCCAGATGTAAACAGTTGCTGGTTGGGATCCTTAAGAGATTCCAGGAAAAGACAATTCCAGGAAGTATCAGCAGTCTCACTAGCTTCATTAGGCTTTTTGTTCCTTGTGTTGCCTTCCTGGGGAATCTTTTTATTTTTTCTTCTTTTTTTTTTTTTTTAAAAAAAAAGTTAATTTTAACCAAGGAAATCAACATTCATATTGTATGCAGAGCCCTTGGTTCTGGAAACTCTCACTCAATAGCCAAGCCCTAGCTCTTAGAGGAAAAGTTTCCCAGATACAAGACGAAGGGTGTAACAGGTACAAAATAGTGGCAGTATTTTAACAACAAAGCCAAGAAAGTAAATTGTTTTCTCTTCATCTCTCTTTACCTACAAAGTAGAAAATGCATGTGTTTATTCATTTATTCTAAAATTACTCAACTGAACACCCATAATGTGCCAGACACTTTTCTAGGCTCTGGGGATTAATGATACACAAAACAGACCAAAATCCTTATCTGTTGGAAGACTGCATTCTAGTACAGCTTGTCAATGGAGCATAAAGTTGGGATTTGTTTACGTTACTATATGAAAGTTTTAAAGCAAAAAAAGGTAAAAAACACTGAATTTCAGTAAATGATAATGCATGTTGAAGAAATTTATGCTGCCTTGAAGTTAGTCTGTGGATCTAGAGAGAGCCAGTTAAAGCTTCCTTCAAGATCAGTTCAGATTAGAAAATAAAATAGACAAAACACTTGGACAGACCTTCAGAAAAGAAGATAAACAAATGCCCAATAAACCCATGAGAAGATGTGCAACATCCTTAGTCATCAGGGACATACAAATTAAAACCACAATGAGATACTGGTTTACACCCACTAGAATACCTAATATAAAAAAGACTGACAATACCACAGTTGGTGAGGAAGGGGAGTGTCTGAAACTCGTATATTGCTGGTCAGAATGTAAAATGGTAAAGTCACTTTGAAAAACTATTTTGCGCTTTCTAATAAACATATCCCTACTCTACAACCCAGCCATTTCACTCCTAGGTATGTACCCAGAAGAACTGTGGCCATTCTTACATAAAAGTGCTCTTAACCTTATTTATACTACCCCAAACTGTAAACAACTCAAGTATCCATCAATATAGGAATATACAAGCAAATTTTGAGGTATTAATGAAATGGATTCCTGCTCAGCAATAAAAAGAAACATACTGCTCCATACAACATGGATAAATCTCAAAGGTACTATGTTAACAAAAGGAACCAGAGGGAAAAAATTATATAGTGCATGATACAATGCGTTATTACCAGCTGTGGTGATGATAGAAATCAGAGTTGTGGTTGCCCTTATATAGGGGAGTGTGGAGAAGGATATTGAAAGGGCTAGAAGGAACTTTCTATATTTATTTTTTGAGACAGGGTCTCGCTCCGTGGCCCAGGCTAGAGTGCAGTGACGCAATCACAGCTCACTGCAGCCTCAACCTCATGGGCTCAGGTGATCCTCCCACCTCAGCCTCCTAAGTAGCTAGGACTACAGGTGTGTGCCACTGCATCTGGCTTAAAAAATTTTTTTTTTTTTAGAGATGAGGCCTTATTATTTGCCCAGGGCTGGTCTCAAAACTCCTGGCTCAAGTGATCCTCCTGCCTCAGGGAATTTAAAAAGCAAAATAAAAATTTTAGGAAGACCAATTTAAGTATATTTATGTTTCCAAAACATACTAGAACATTTAATTATATAGTGGAGGTGTTTATTATTTTTCTTTTCCCCCTTTATTCCATCATTAGATGAGCCATTTAGATCGATTGAGTAGGTGACATCAAAAATGTGACACTATGTTGTAGTCATCTTAAATGAGTCCTGGCAGTCTTAAGATGTGCCCTGCTTCAATTGGGAGGGTTTATCTTCAAGCTGGTGGTTGGCATGAAGGATAGACTAGAGTTTTGCATTTCAGTGGCTTGAGGCCATCACAGATACACGGGAAGGAAAAAACAGAAAATTTCCATCCCCTCCTGTTTTGTCTGATGACTCACCTTTTAAGGTGTGGTATATAGAGTTTGCTAAGGATTTCTGTTAGTGTGTTGACATTTTCCCCAGCATTTTATTATGAAAAATTTCAAATATAAGCAAAGTTTACAATGAATACCTGTATACTTACAACCTAGATTCTACCATAAACATTTTACTATGCTTATTTTATTCCTGTATCTGTCTGTCCCTCTATCCATCCTTCAATTCATCTGTTTTTCAGTGCATTGTAAAGTTTACTTTCCCCTAAATATTTTTTTTTTTTTTTTTTTTTTTTTTGAGACAGAGTCTTGGGCTGTCTCCAGGTGCCAGGCTGGAGTGCAGTGGTGCTGTCTTGGCTCACTGCAACCTCCGCCTCCTGGGTTCAAGCAATTCTCCTGCCTCAGCCTCCCAAGTAGCTGGGACTACAGGCACGTGCCCCCACGCCCAGCTGACTTTTGTATTTTTTTTAGTAGAGACGGGGTTTCACCATGTTGGCCAGGATGGTCTCGATCTCTTGACCTCATGATCTGCTCACCTCGGCCTCCCAAAGTGCTGGGATTACAGACATGAGCCACCGCGCCTGGCTTCCCCTAAATACTTTAACATGCATATCATTCACTAGAGTTCAGTGTTTTTTCACATATATATATTTTTTCCTTTGGCTTTAAAATCTTCAGTAAAGCACACAAATCTTAACTATACATGTATGTTGGGTTTTAGAGTAAAAATATTTTAATTATTCAAAGAAAGGAAGTATTACACTTGGGAGAAAACCCCATTAGAGCAGGTCTTGGTTTCAGTATCATTAGCCATCTTGACTCCTATGTTCTCTCACCTCTCCTGCCACTGTTCGTAGTAGAAGCTATGAATATCAGAATTCTCACAAGCTGTGGTTTTTATTTGGGAATTCAAAATTGCAATGATATGGTTTAAGCATTGCAGTTTTGAATTCCCAAATAAAAACCCTAGCTTATGAGAACTTAGTGTATATAGATCCAGTGACTTGAAAATGTTGCAGAAAGTTATTGAATTAAGATTTCACCTAAGAAATCTAAAATAGATTGTAACTACTTGTGAAGCAAAGGGATTATTTAGGGCCTTAAAAAGGTTATAAACCTAACTTTGCTAACCCACGGAATGACCAGAACCCTACTAATTGAGATTACTAGGTTTGCACTGGAGGATGATAATTTGAAAATCGCAGGGAGAGGATCAAGCAGGAGTAGCAGTGGTTGGAGGCTCAGATACCCCATTTTAGAGTGTGTGTTACCTGTATCTTTTTTTTGTTGATGGTTGTCCACCAAGTCTGATCATTTAAAGTATGAGTTTGGCTGTGCTTATTTCAGCTATAGAACGGGCCATGGGTGTTTAGTTTGTGCTTATTTGGAGGGTATAAAGCCAAGCGAACTAGTTTTCTCCCCAGGCTAATTTTTCACTCCACTTTTCTTTGTTACAGAGAAATGATATCGCCATGGCAATTACAAAATTTGATCAGTTTGACTTTCTCATCGATATTGTTCCAAGAGATGAACTGAAACCTCCAAAGCGTCAGGTGAGCTGTGCATGCATTGCTGTTGCTGCTGACTGAAGAGCGCTCTGCATACTGGTGTCAGATACGTGCCTTTTCCTCTCAGCACAAGTCATTTGCTGTTCCTTTTGCTCTTTGTCTCTAGACCAGATTCATTCTTAACATCTCCTTCTGTTACTCATTTCTGGATACTTTTAACTCAGTGCCTTTGAAGTGGTATTTAAATGAAGATAGACAATGAAAATGAAAGACTTTAGTTACAAATGGTAAAGTGAAGCTCATTTTAAGGTATCTTAGGAAGTCTTAGGAGTCATTTAGAGCTCTTCATCTGGGATGGGAGAAAATTCCCAGAAAGTTATAGATTTTAGATTTTTAAGAAACAGCTTCTCTGTGTGCACAGTGGTATTTGGAGTGAATGGACTATGTTTTCTCTTCCTCTGTATTGTGGTTCTTTATATCTTTATGTAGTGCCCTGACTGCACACTAGAATCACCTGTTGGGGTTTTAAAACTATCAGTACCCAGGCTCTACCTCACATCAGCTGAATCAGAATCTCATGATGGAGCCCAGGCATGAGTACCTTTTAAAACTCCCTGGATGCTTTTAATGTGTAACCAGATTTGAGAACCACCACTTGAGCTGTTTTCCCATCAATCACAAGAAAGAATGTTAATGTCTGCCTTCCTCTCTCTTCTGTCTGCCTCTCTCCAAAGATCACACTAGTTGTTTTTTCAGCACCTTGGGTGCATATAGCTCCTAATTGTGATTGTAATAGACCTCTGTCCTGTAGAGCTCATTGTTTTAGGCATGCAGATTGCATGATTCACTAGGTGTAGTAGAGACACTGGGAAATAGTGGCAGAATCTCACAGTAGCAAAGCTGTGCCTTGTTGTGCTTTCTTTGTTATATAAAACTTTAAGTATTTTTAATGAGTTATTTCATAATATATTATCCTTAGAAATAGTCATTCAGTGACAACCATTCTCCCCATGCCGGCCTGAATTAATAACCAGTTAGAGAAAGTCTAGAAGTGAACATTTATAATTCAGAGCTAATGAACATTTATAATTCTGACCCTGCATGGGGGCCTTTGGATTAGCAAGCCCCCTGTCACCGCCTTACTAGAGTAGGGTGTGCCTCACTGCGTCTCCGTTCTTTTTGGGCAGTCTTTGCTACTGTAAACATCCTTGACTGGAAGCTGTAAGGTGTTGAGAGGAGCTTTCAGTCGGATGTTTACAGCGGCAGGCTGCCACGGTCATCCCCAGCTGCGCATCGGCTTTGAAACATTGCAGGTTTGTGCCCATAGGCTCAATTTCTCCTCTTGGGGTCCTTCCCTCCTCTCTCAGAAGTCACAACCACAAGAACTCAGTCCATTTCTCTTCCTTCAGAACAAAGAGTATCACACAACTGCTTTCCTTGTTGAAATTGTTATCTCCTTGTGTCTATCCGAAGCCCCCTTTGAAACAAGATGGTGAGCTCTGTGATGAAATCAGGCCTTGCTCACTCTCATTGTACTAACTCCTTGTTTTCTATGGGCTGCCCGCTGAAAACACTGGCTGGAGAGAAGGGTCACATCCTGCCAGTTCCTCCAAATTCCTCAGTGCTTCTGGCTCTCTCGGGGTGTCACAGATCCTTATTACATCTTCGCCAGACTCAAAGTGCTATGATCCATCTGCTTTTAAAGAGTGTGTGTCTAGCTGAAACAGCTTCTTGTTGCTTGGCTTTAGTTCTTTGTAGGTGTTCAAGCCATTGATTGGCATCATATTCGGGACAGCTGCTGCCTGGCCTTTGAAAGGTTGAGATTGCTGAAAGCTGGCCTGAAATTCTAAGATAGCATTTTTAATCCTCTGTAGACACAAAGTTTTCCCAAGCTCCAAATTGGCTGGCACTTCTTAAAGTCCTTGAAAATGCCTACTCTCCAAAACCCACCCTTTCTGAAGGAAGCAGCAGTTCACTCTTGCCACTAAAGCAAATGTACTTTTTTCCAGTCAGGGCTGGCTGCGCAACACTGTAGAGATGGCCCTAAGATGTGATGCTGCTCTTCTCTGGCACTGTTTGTCAGTCTAAGCTTCTGGAAAGATTCTAAGAGCCAGCCCTCTAGTTGGGGAGGCCTCTACTAAAGTTGAGCAAGTGCCCCATTCTGGATTGATGCAGTCATTAAAGGATTGTTCTACCACTTGGGCCAACTTCCCACTGCTGGGAAAAGGAACTAGCCAGAAATACTGAATTGTGAATCTAAGGCCCTTGACTTCTCACAGATGCTTGGGAGTTTTGCTTGTTCTTCAGGGAAGCAAGTAAAGACTGTTTCAAAGTAGGAGGTAGTTGAGGCCTGACTTCTGCCCCACTAAAGCTATGAGTTGAAAGTTCCTGCCCATTGAAATGTCATTATCTTTTCACCCATTTCTTTAAACAAAGCATAATCATTTTCTTGCTAGCTTGACCTCCATTGGCCGATGAGTCTTCATAATGCAGCAGAGCCTTAGATATGCCTTCTTCCATTCCAGCGATTTGAGAACAGTTGTACCTTGTCCTAACAACACAAACCTAGGTGCCTCCACTTGATACTCCCAAGTATCCTAGATACTGTCTAGTTCATAAACGGTTTAAGAGGATATGGTAAGCAGCATAGGTGGAGCTCTTGACCTGCTCTTACAGCTTTTGGCAAGAGGTATTTTGGCTTCTGGAAGGGGTTTTTAAAGGTTTTGCTTTTTGTCTGACAAAAAGGTCATATTCAATTACTAGATCAGCTGTAGTCAGGGTTAACTAGAGACTAAACAATCACAGGTCAGGACTAGAAAATGCAGGTGTCTCCCTGCTGCCTAGTGTCCTATACAGCTGGTTCTGGGGCTCTTAGTCCTGTATACCGCTCGTTACCCAAGAGCTTTTCCAAATTAGGTCTGGATTTTAGTGATTTGTGTTTTTTGTAAAATAAGAAGGGAGATCTCAGTGGAACATAAGTACCTTGAACCTACTTCAACAGCTTTGCGAAGAGCAGATGGCCTCTGTTTCTTGGCTGAAAAGGGTATCAGTATTTTAGCCTTGCCACAGCCAAGACCTCATTTCCAGGCTGACATTTATTTATAATGATGAGAAGTCGGGGTTGGAATGGAGTTGACGTTGCCATTTTTAAGTCTTCGTGGAAATTGAGACGTAGATGAAAATGAAAGGGAATCTCCTTTTCCTTCTGCCTCAGCATAATCGTATTGAGGGTTAAAACTGTTTGGGTCTGAAGCACAGAATATATTAACCTAGAAAGTCAGTTCATGTTTAAGGACTTGCTTAGAAACCCAAAATGTTACAATTATCTCCCTAAGCTAGGTATATGGCTATTCAGTAACCATGTCATGCAGAGACCCATGTTTCTTAGGGGCTAGATATTGGTGGTCCTAGTTTTAGTATCCTGGCTCCCAGTCATCAGGCAAACAAAGAATACCCAGCCCTGTTCCACAGGGACACCAGCTGCTCCCATACCGTATGGCCACAGAGTCCTAGAGGTACCAAAAGAGAGTTTGGAGAGACTTTTTTCTATTGGTAACAGCCGTTGCATTCAAGAGAATTTGTCATACCACCAACTTGGATTCAGAGTATTTTCCTGCCTCTAACTGTCTGCCTGTCTAAATAAATCCATTTATCATTCAGCAAGCACTTATTGAGTGCCTACTTGGGAATGCGGGGGATAGCAGGGAGCAAGAGAGCTAGGCTTTGCCCTCATGGTGATTACATTTTAGCAGAACAGATAGTTAATTTGACATGCAAGGGCAAAAATTATACTATAGGACAATACGGTGGAAGCACAGTTCAGAGCACCTAATGTAGTGGGGGTAGGGTCAATACCAGCTTTGTAAATGCTACTTTGGGGAGCTTGAGGCAGTCCACAGGGTCTGTGTACATTGAAGAAGTGTCTTCCTCTTTTCTGGAACATGGCAAACTTTGCCCTGAATAAGGATGTGAGTAAATTTAGCTAATATTTTTACTCAAGACAGCCCAAGTGGTTCGTGTTTTTATTGTTTTTGTTGTCGCAGGCAGGGGCACCATGTGTCACAGGTCACTCCGGATCAGACGTCGTTCTGTGTCAGTGGTCAGGGGCTGCCCAACTCTGGACCCTGTGGGCTGTTACCATGCTGTAGTGTGTGTAAACATCCTACACTCTCAGCTGTGAGCTCAAGGTGGCTGGGAGAGGGTTGTTTACTCCTTCTGCCATGGAAAACATCAGCTGAAGAAGAAACAGTCTCCACTCTGCAGATCGGACAGAATGCGACCTCCCTAATCAGCCAAGGCAGTACCCCAGCGGAGAGCTGTCCATCAGGCCCCCTGGGTTGCGCTTCTGTGGCTAAGTACAACCAGAACCAGATGTGAGCTGGATAGACATGCCCTCAGTGACCACAGAGTTTTCAACAAGCTGTGAAAAGCTGGGTACTTGCCTACCAGTGCTCTTGATCCTGAAATTTGATTCCGAAATTTCCGCCCAGTGCCTCTTGAAGTGGTGGGGATAAAATGAGAAGAAGGCTGCCTATTTGGGAGATTGGGACCAGGCCTAAGAGGCATGATGTTTGGGTAGCATCTTCCCAACACTTAAAATTAGCATTGTTCTCAGATCACAGGCCTTGACAGCATTTACTGACAAGCACTGCTGGTTCACGGTTTTTAGTTAATGGTAATTATTTGCCCGTTTGCAACTTATCATGCAATGGGTGATTATTTCATACTTCAAAAATTGGCTGGATGTTTTGTGAAGCCTATAGGATCTGTTATATTTAGTTTGATTTAGCATAACTGGTCTCTTCGAATTCCACTTCCCTTTGGCTTCAGATGTGGAGAGCTCAGCATTCAGCAGGCAACTGCACATAGCCTGTTTGGGGGAAGAGTGGAAATTCACTGTGGCGGCTGCTGAGTCTGTTCTTTTCCTCTTACCTGTCTCTCTTTCCACCCAACAGGAGGAGGTGCGCCAGTCTGTAACTCCTGCTGAGCCAGTCCAGTACTATTTCACACTGGCTCAGCAGCCCACCGCCGTCCAAGTCCAGGGGCAGCAGCAAGGCCAGCAGACCACCAGCTCCACGACCACCATCCAGCCTGGGCAGATCATCATTGCACAGCCTCAGCAGGGCCAGGTCTGTGAGCTGCTGAGGATGCCCATCCAGCAAGACAGTGTCCCGTAGGTTTTTGGATGGGCAGAGCTTGATCAGGGCAGAGGCAACCAGATCATTATAGAGCACTGCATTTAAAGTCTGGAAACTGGAACTTTTCCCCAGATTCAGTTCCTGGGGTGAGATGTCACCCTAATCTCTCTGAATTCTGTTTTTCTCAAAGGTCAAATGAGGAAAGCAGTGGACAGTATGTTCTCCAGGATCCCTATTAGCTCAGAAATTTTAGAAGGCAAAAAAACATGTCTGTAATGCCTTAGGAAGAGTAGTGGGATCTCTGTAGCGGTACTAAAGTGAACTCCATGCCTACTATGCCAGAAGTGGAACTTGTGCCCTTAAAGGGAGAGATTAGGTGTCATTGCCAGGTTGCATACTCCTCCCCATCCTTTCTCTGTCCCATGTTTGTGTCAAGTGACCTGCTCTTTTTACGATAGTAATCAGAGGACTCTTTCTCTCCTCAGTAGTAGTGTTGAGAGCAGTAGCATTCATGTTTGTTGGGGGTCATGAGAGGCTGCAGAGAACTCTGTACTATGAGCTCTGAATACACATTCTCTGTCAATCATTATTAATTCATCAAACACTGAGCATCCTCTGAGGGGAAAGTCCTGCACTATGTATTGGGGATACAGGCATGAATGAAATAGTCCATATATTCAGAGAATTCACAATTTAGTTGTGGATGCAAATACTTAAAGGTTGTACCACCACATGGGAATGTGTACAGGGTGTTATAGGAGCACATCAAAAGGAGTACCTTGGCTTAGTGCAGTGGCTCACACCTGTAATCCTAGCACTTTGGGAGGCCAAGGTGGGAGGAACCCAGGAGTTTGAGGTTACAGTGAGGTAGGATCGTGCCATGCACTTCAGCCTGGGCAGCACAGCAAGACCTTTAATTTTTTTTAAAAAAAAATAGGTGGTAGGGGGGTGTGGTGGCTCATGTCTATAATTACATCACTTTAGGAAGCTGAGGCAGGAGGATTGCTTGAGCCCATGTGGTCAGGTCCAACCTGGACAACATGGTGAGACCCGGTCTCTACAGAAGATTCAAAACATTAGCCAGGCATGGTGGCATGTGCTTGTGGTCCCAGCTATTTAAGAGGCTGAGATGGGAGGATTACTTGAGCCAAGGAAGTCAAGCTACAGTGAGCTGTGATTGTTCCACTGCAGTCCAGTCAAGGTGGCAGAGCAAGATCCTGTCTCAAAAAAAAAAAAAAGAAATAGGGGAGGGAATGAGTATCTAAGAAAGATATGAAGGAGGTGTCAGATGATGTTCCTAAAGAGAATAAAATGAGTGTTAGGGAATAGTGGAAGTTAATGAAAGAAAGCGGGGAAGGATGGTATTGCCAGTAGAGGACACAGCACAGCAAAAGCTTAGAGGTGAGAAACTACAGGGAGTTGTGGGAAAGTAGTTGGCATAGGGCACCATCTAAGCAAGTTTGAAAAGACAGGTAGTGAACACATCCTGGACAACCTTGTGTATTCTAATAAGGAGCTGGATTTGCCTAGAAGAAAAAAAATGGGGTAGAGGTAGATTAATTGATTTATTCACTGATGTTTTTTTAAAGATAAGTTCTCACTTGGTCACCCAGGTTGGAGTGTAGCAGCACAATCATAGCTCACTGCAGCTTCAAACTACTGGGCTCAAGCAATCCTCTTCAGCCTCCTGGGGAACTGGGACTTCAGGCATGTGCCACCACACCTGGCTAATCTTTCAATTTTTTGTAGCGATGGTGTCTCATGTTTCACAGGCTGGTCTCAAACTCCTGGCCTCAAGCCATCCTTCCACCTTGGCTTCCCACAGTGGTGGGATGAAAGCATGAGCCGCCATGCCCAGTTGGGAGGTATATGTAAATAATTATGATTTGGCCAGGTGCAGTGGCTCACACCTGTAATCCCAGCACTGTGAGAGGCCAAAGCAGGAGGGTCATGCGAGCCCAGGAGTTCAAGACCAGCCTGCGCAACATGGCAAGACCTTGTCTCAAAAACAAATAAACACACAAAGAATTAAAATTAAGTGTGACGCACAACTGCCAGCTGAAAAGATGGTGGCTTCCTAGAGAGCTGGCGGTTGATTTGGAGGGAGGCTCAGGCTACACTATATAGGAGCCATGGAAGTGGCAGAGCCCAGCAGCCCCACTGAAGAGGAGGAGGAGGAAAGAGGAGCACTTGCTCCAATCCTGAAGGGGCTGAGGACCAGGCAGTGGGGGCACAGGGGAGTGTGGGCAGCCACAGTGAGGAGTGAGGCTGCCAGTGCTGATGATGGGAGTCCCAACACTTCAGGAGCCAGCCCTAAGTCCTGGTAGGTGCCCCCAGCAGGCCTTGAGGCCCAAATTCGAACACCAAAGGTCAGCTTTCCAGAGAATTTGATTGTCTACCTGGACCTGTCAGAGGAAATGTCACTGCTAAAGCTGGAGTCATTCAATGGCTCCAAAACCAATGCCCTCTACATCTCCCAGATGATTGAGATGTTCATGCGGACAAAACACAAGGTCAACAAAAGCCACAAGTTTGCTGGTGGTGGTGAACAACGACACGGCCTGGCTATCTGGCCTGACCTCCAACTCCCGTGAGCTCTGCAACCACCTCTATGATCTGGAGACATGTCTTTATGATCTGGTATCCTGTTCCACCTTCAGTCTAGAAGGACTTTTCAGCCTGATCCAGCAGAAAACTGAGCTTCCACTCAGAGAACGTGCAGACCATTCTTCTACCATACGTAGTCTGCACCATCCTTGTCTACATCCGCCCAGCCAGCCCCAGTTCTCCTTGATGGAGCCCATGAAGAAATGTTCCAGTGCCCATATTTCTTCTTTGATGTTGTTTACATCCACAATGGCACCAAGGAAAAGGAGGAGGAGATGAGCTGGAAGGACATGTTTGCCTTTACAGGCAGCCTGGACTGCATGGCAAAACTGTTGGCTCACCCCTGCAGTGGCCCTGCCAGAGCCACACTTCCTACATCCTGCTTGAGGAGGAGGATGAGGCCACTGAGATTGAGGCCACTGTCTGAACCATCCCTGTACATCTGCACCTTCTTGTGCAAGGAAGCTCTTGGCCTAAAGCCTTAATTCTTAAACCAGGTTCCTTGGGACCCCCAAGGGGTGCCAGGTGGCACCTAGGGTACCTTGCAGGGTCCTGGGAGGGAAACTTAGGATTGCAGGAGGGATTCTAGGAACTCTAGATGCCCATCTTCTGTGTTTCCCAGCCCATTCCCACTCCTGGTTTGTCATGGATAATTTTTGTCCTTCCTTGCGTGATTTTTGTCATCAAAATAAAAATTGAGACTCGTTAACAGTAACAACAACAAAAAAAAACTAAAAATAATCATGAGGGCCAGGCACAGTGGCTCATGTCTGTAATCCCAGCACTTTGGGAGGCCGAGGCGGGTGGATCACCTGAGGTTGGGAGTTCGAGACCAGCCCGACCCACATGGAGAAACCTTGTCTCTACTAAAAAGTACAAAATTAGCAGGATGTGGTGGTACATACCTATAATCCCAACTACTTGGAAGGCTGAGGCAGGAGAATTGCTTCAATCTGGAAGGCTGAGGTTGTGGTGAGCCAAGATTGTGCCATTGCACTCCAGCCTGGGCAACAAGAGTGAAACTCCATTAAAAAAATAATAATAATAAATAACACATAATTATGATTTTAGGATTTATTCCCTGCTCATTTACTTATCCATATAACAAAAAATTAGTGCCTGTTTTATGCCAGACACTGTGCTAGGCAGGAGTCGATCAAAGATAATGGCTGCTCAGTCACTGCCTCAAGGCCTCTACTACACCATGATGCCTAAGGGACCTTCTTTGGCTAATGCTTGTGCCTCTGCAGTGGTGAGAGCTTTACCTGCCAAAGGCTTTATCCCTTTACAGACTGAACTTAGAGGGAGTCTGCCAAGGGCAGACTCTGGTTGGCTGATCATTCTAAGAAGCTCATGGCTATTGTGCCCTGACAGCAGGGCACACCATACGTGATTTGACAGCTGCCATGCTAACACAAGCCCTCATTTTCCTGAAATGATTTAGAAATACCTTGAAAATCCTCTTGGGAAAATTGGGTTGATATAGTACAGTGATGAGTTGGCAGCATGCATTTCTTTTTAGTCAGCAAGAATTTCATCTATCCACTTCTTTGCCAACCCAGACCTGCTCAGCTTGGAACTGAGAAGGCTTGTGAGGATGGTGAAGTTGGTCCTTCCCAGCATTTCCTGGCTGTTCTTTCACCATCTTGCTGCTTCAGGGTGGCCTTGTGCTGTGTCACACCTCCCTGGACCCATAGTGATGGCTATTTCAAGTTGAGTGCAGGTATCCTTTGTAGGACAGAATACGTATGTATTAAACAGTTGGAAAGAATGAATATTTTGGTAAAAATGAATTCTGTGTTTTCTGTCATAAATTGGAAACTTATTTCTGGAGGTTTGGGAATAGGCTGAGTTGAAAACTGTGGTACCAGATGTTTTCTGTTGGCCTAGCCCACTGCATGTACTTTTAGAACACCTGGCTGTGTTTCTTTCCTGCCCTTCTCCAGTTTATAGTAATTTCTCCTTAGTAATTCCTTGAATCTCATCTGTTGTTCACAGAACACATCCATCCCCTTCCCTTGTAACTCTGGGTGCATACTTGTAATTTTCAGTAACCTATGCAGTCAGAATTAAGAACATCAGAATAGCAACATCAGTTGAAGTTTTTGTTTCATTGAGACTTCCATAGTCTTCTTACCGAGGTGATTAATTCAGAGTAGGGAGAGATAGTGACAGAATTCAAGTCAGGGTTTGGGTGTACAGGTGTAGTTCAAAATGCTCCACCACCCCCTCTCCATCACTACCATCACCAGATGAGCCAGATGTGCTCACTTCTCTAGGTCACCTCTAAAAGTCACAACTAGTACTAACGTTTTGAGATTTGAAAGAATGACCCTTTTGGCAGCTTGTGTCTTTAACGTCTCTTAAAAGAGTGCATTTCATAGGACTACAGCCGTTAAGTGTGTGTTACAGAAACAGAATCTGCTAAGTCATACATTGGGCAGAAATTTCTTAAATCCGAGAATGTTATTTTTAGAGAGTTAGAGTTCTTGCTTTCTTAAATTCTATTAATTTGGGGTTGACTTAGGTAAGAGTCTGTGTCTTAACAGTGTCCAGTGAGTTAGCAGTGGTTGCTCTCCTGTGGGAAGGCATACTGTCGTCCAGAGCAGCCATCTGGTCAGTGTGGGCAGGAATTGCTCTGCAGCTTGAATGGGGTGAGAGCCAGTGTGCACTAGGGCCACCCTTGGAGATGCACCCCTGTGCTTTATTTTCCTCTCAATGTCTTATATACCTAAGAAAGAGCATATGATCCTGAACTAAATAAATTCATACGAACTCTTTCCATGTAATGTTATCCTCCAAATTCACCTGCCCCAGACTTGACTTTAGCTCTTTCTGAAGTAAACTGTCATGGTTGCTTTTAATTTTTTCTGTATTGTATGTGACTTATCATCACTAACAGGCCTGTGAAAAAGTTGCAGCATTCAGGGCACAGAGATTTATGTTTGGGACGCATGCTAATATTGTGTACTATGAGCCTAAAGATATTTTTGGCTTTCCTTTCATTTTGGAGAGTGACTTTAGCAATGCTCTAAATCCAAAGGATTTTGTAGGTTGAGTATTACTAATATTGAGATGAGTTTAGGCATTCATGGAGAGGGTTTGCTCCTGGCAAATTGCTCGTTATTAATCTCTTGGTAATCCTGTAGGCTCTGAGCCTGAACTCATGCAGCATTCTCATAACTCTTCCTTTCAGACCACACCTGTGACCATGCAGGTTGGAGAAGGTCAGCAGGTGCAGATTGTCCAGGCTCAGCCTCAGGGTCAAGCCCAGCAGGCCCAGAGTGGCACTGGCCAGACCATGCAGGTGATGCAGCAGATCATCACTAACACAGGAGAGATCCAGCAGATCCCGGTGAGTACTGCTCTGAGGTCTGTCTTCATGACTTTGTAGAAGGAAATACTTAAAGTTATGTATATATATTTAAACACATGCACAATACTGGTATTTTTTTGTTTGTTTTTTTTTTTTTCTGAGATGGGGCTTGCTCTGTCACCCAGGCTGAAGTGCAGTGGTTTGATCTCAGTTCACTGCAACCTCTGCCTTCCAGGTTCAAGCGATTCTCCTGCCTCAGCCTTCCTACTAGCTGGGATTACAGGCGCATGCCACCACGCCTGGCTAGTTTTTCTGTTTGTAGTAGAGACAGAGTTTCACAGTGTTGCCCAGGCTGGTCTCAAACTCCTGACCTCAGGTGATCCACCAACCTCGGGCTCCCAAAGTGTTGGGATTGCAGGCATGAGCCACCATGCCGGGCCCACATACTTTTTATATATATGCGTGTGTGTATGTTTTGTTTTTAACCTATATACTTAGTGTTCCTGACCACAACGTGCTTCACTGTGTTTGTTCCCTGCTTTCCTTTAATGCAGGTTCAGGTTCACCACAATGGGTCAGCTCCTCAGTTTTCCCTCATTCCACCTACACAGGAAATCATTGTAACCACTACCCATGGCAAGGCCCAAAGGCCCTGTGAGGCAGTCCTGTCTTTTGATTAGCAGAGATAAGAGGGAGGTGTATAGGAAAGGCCATAAATACACTTGTTGCATATTCATGAGTCAGTTCCCAGTGGAGCCTGCAGTAAAGTGTATTTTTGGCTTTCATATAACTTATCCATTCCTTTACTGTGGACTGCTGCTTCCTGTGTGCCTTGAGGGATTTCATTTCTTAGATTTGTTGGCTTTTTTACTTGTACTCCTTCTTTTGTAAAAATATGTCTTTGTCTTAACACTTGCAGTCTGTACATTGGTCATTTTACCCCCAAAACTGGTAAGTGAGTGAAACAGAGCAGTTCTGTTTCCTACCCTTTGCCCTTTCTGTCGTAAATGAAATGGAGGCGGGTATAGAAACTCACATAGACTTGGTTAATCATTTCCGCTGTGAAAATTCTAAAAGCATCCTTAGATAAGTTTAGGAATTGTTATTCATCTGAAGTTAACATAGTAATAGACCAAGAGAAAGCTTAGGAAAGTGGAGTGTGTATGTCTCTTTCTCCACCTCCCACGGGTGCTCGATATCCATAGATTGCAGGTGACTGGGCTCTGCCTTGCTTCATTGTTTGAGTCCCCAACCCCAAGATTGCTGTTGAGTGGTTCTCATTTTTGCAAGTGAAGGCACCACCACAGGTTCATTTAAGCAGAGAAGAGTTCCACCTGGCAGATACTTTAACGCTCTGGGGCACGGAGTGTTAGCCCAGACAATTTGTGGCAGAATTCACTATTTCATCTTCATTGGTTCAGGCACCTTCTGTAGGAGTCTTCATTTCCATACTCTTTAGGCAGCTAATTGGAATGTTCCCAACAGATGAGCTTTAGGAAGGAATCTTTATTTCCCTTTCAAAAATCCAGAGCTTATTTTCTCAGTAATCAATGTAAAAAAGCTGTGAGGATCCCCAGACCTGGCCTGCCATAGGGGAATGAGAGACGGATCATCACCAAATGTCTTAACCTAAGCCTAAAAGGAAAGCTTCTTGCTTTTGTTGAAGAGCTGCTTGGAACCATTTGGCTCAGAGCTTGTCAGTCACATTTGGGCTTCTGCAAAGAGCTATTCCCAGCTAGAAAATTTTACATCCTGTGGCTGTCAGTATACCTTCTCCCACTCCTGGGACAAGGCTTTACTGTGGACTGCTGCTTTCACCTTGTGATCCCTGACTGGAGTTCTGGGGACTTCTGGGACTAGCCACCATCAGTGTCTGTAGATGAGGTTTCCCAAGCCTCCGCCCAGCTGCCTTCCTCCGCACAAGCAACTTAACATTGTTGCCAGGAAGCTGCATTATAGGATTTAGGTGGGGAATTCAGGGTTGGCACCACAGCCTCCCAGCAGCTTCTCTTGGCATATTCTCAGGAAAGAAATAACTGCAGGTCATAATACTCTTGCCCTTTCTCCTTTGAACCAGATTTTTAGTGGGTTTAGATTGTGTGTCCCTGAGTCTTAACTGAAGTGAACAATTCTGGAATGGTCTACCATGAACTTCAGAGGTAGTTTTTTCTTGGTAGTTCAAATTCTGTGAGGCTGGAAGTCTCAGAGACGCATTTTGATTGAACACCGCATGCAGGAGTGAAGCTTCATCCATTAGCATTTTCCTCATGGAAGGAAGAGTCCTGCAGTGAAGTTATTTCTTGAAGGCCAGAGGGAAATTTGCTCCAGAGCAGAGGCAACACTTGCCTGTTAGCTGCAAGAAGCTCCCCCTTGCAACAAGGGTAGGCCGGACAGCCAGGGCAGGTGGTTTCTGGGGCCCCCAGATAGAAAGACCTAGGTATCCATGCTCCCCAAATCCCTTTCATTTCCTCTAAATCAGGGGCGTGAAAGTCTGCAGTCCTCTTCTGCTGACCATTATCTTTGCTGAGCTACGGTTCTCTCACGTAGTAACTGCCTTGCTCCTCTTCTCATCCCCAGCTCAAAGCACTAATACTTTTATGGTACACTGGAGCGTTAAGAGCCTGAGTTAAGGCTTTTAGCACACAATTAAATGCAGCATGTGGTATTATTGTATTATCTGAGATTTAATCCTAAGCATGAGAGACTCTAAGGGCACTTTTGTAGCTTTAGTTTCCCATGGTGGGGTTTTCTGTGAAAGGTTTATTGATTCTACTTCCCCTTGGGAGGTGTTTGGCCAGAAGCTTGTGCTGATCACCGAGGATCCTAAAAGTCCCATAGACCCCCGCGGGCCTAGCTCCTGGGGACAGAGATGGTTAAGCAGGCCAGCTGCTGCCTCCAGGAGGTGCAGCATGGGGCAGAGCAGTGTGAGGGCTGTGGCGTGGAACGATGGCTGCCTGCTTTGGGCTCCTGGCGGATGCTTGATCTCTACAATATTGGGAATTGTGGGAGATGGGAGGGAAAGAGGCCCACACTTAATGTACAGGCATTCTTACGATGTCAGACAGATAAATTCCTAAGATAAACTGTGATCATGTAGCTAAGAGCTAGCAAATAATGAGCATACAGCCATGCTGTTCTCACCTTTGTGACAGGATCTTTTGGGAGTTTTTTCTGAAGTCTGTTCAGGGAACGTCCTCTCTGCTGTGTTGTGTGACTTGTGGGATGTGGATACTCTGTTTTTGCTTGTTTTGACCTCTGTTTAAAGGGGACTTTTTTCAGGGCAGGCTTCTTTGGAGGGCTTGAGGGGTAGGGGGCAATCACCATCTCTGGTCATAGAAAGTTTGCGTGTTTGAGATTATACTCAATGTCTTATGGTCTCTTTGTCTCTGCCCCTGCCCTAGGTGCAGTTGAACGCCGGCCAGTTGCAGTATATTCGCTTAGCCCAGCCTGTATCAGGCACCCAAGTTGTGCAGGGACAGATCCAGACACTTGCCACCAATGCTCAACAGGTATGTGCACCAGAGACACAGGCTTGTGTTGGAGACCAGCAGCAGATGGCTTCTGACTGGAAAGGAGCGCTGAGCACACAGCTCTCTTGCCACCTCATCCTTCAGCCAGAGGCACTGCCTCCACATCCTCCATATCTCTTCTGCACTCTAAGAGGCATGGGTGGTAATTAGAAGATCAGATTCAAAGGGTTTTCTCTTACCATCTGGTTCTCAAGGGGCAGAGAAATGCAAGTCATGGGGGAGCCTCGAAGGTGCCTGAAAGAAACCTTATAGGTGTGCATACCCATTAGACCCGGGAAATGTTTGACAGACTTCCTGATTGTCAGGCTGAGTTTCCATCTTTAAACCCAAGTGGCTGTTGTGTTCTGGCACCCTCTGTGCCCTTTGAAAAGCTTGCTTAGATTTTATTCCCACGTCCTCTTGCATCCCTAACCAGAAAAATTGCCCCTCTCCTCTCCTCTTGTGCCCTACAATATTGATGGCTATGAGTCACAGGTGGTGAGGGGGCTGCCTCCCTGGGCTTGGGGGTATTGAGGGATGTGGGCATCATTTACACAAGATGGGGAGGCTGCTGGTTAAGGGGAGGCATTGTTAATGGATTCTTTTGCCTCAGACCGAAAAAAAGCAGCGATCGTTTAAGAGCTGTACCCGTCTGGCCCAGTTGCATTTCTGGTGATGTATCTATTGACAGTGGTGACAGAGCTAAGTTTGTAGAGCAGGTCTCCGAAGATCTCATTTGGGAAAATAGGAGGAATGAGCCAAAAGCAAGGCTTCTGAGTTCCATATAGTCTCTGGGATCATTAAGGGCTCTTTCTGTGCCCACTCCCTGGCTTACCTAAGGACTTGGCTTTTTCATAACTGATACTCACACCCTTCCCCCAGCCCCTCTTTTTAACCTTGTAAGATTCTTCCCTGGGATCCAAAAAACATAATGGCATGGGAATGGGAGGAAATGAGAAGGAAGCTTCTTGGTTTCTCAGAAGTCAGTTTGGGGATGAGCGCGGTAGCTTACACCTGTAATCCCAGCACTTCGGGAGGCCAAGGCAAGTGGATCACTTGAGGTTGGGAGTTTGAGACCAGCCTGGCCAACATGGTGAAACCCCGTCTCTACTAAAAATACAAAAATTATGTGGACATAGTGGTACATACCTGTAATCCCAACTACTCAGGAGGCTGAGGCACAAGAATCACTTGAACCCAGGAGGTGGGCGTTGCAGTGAGGCGAGATTGTGCCACTGCTCTCCAGCCTAGGCAACAGAGTGAAACTCCATCTCTAAAAAAAAAGAAAAAAGAAAAAAGTCAGTTTTGGGAACAGAACTAAAGCCAAAAAATGGGGGAGGATGGGGAGAAGCAAGAAAGAGGTGGCTGAGGGCAGTGCAGATCTCCATAAATACAGGTTGTAATTGTGACAACCTAGTACCTAGTAGGCGCTCAGTAAATGTTTGTTGAATGAAGCTGAATGAATAATATGTAAATAAAATTTAAAGGTAAATGAAACCTCAGCTAATATGAATGGCAGTCCTGCTGTCCACAGAGCAGTTAACCTTCTTACCTATGAGGAGTATTTTCCATTTGCCTCAGGCTCACTTATTTATTCTGCAGACATTTCTGGAATACTTACTTTGTATGGGGTCCTGCCCTCATGCAGCTTCTAGGCTGTTTGAAGGAAAGGGACCCAAAATAAGAAGGAAAAATAGTAAAAAATAATTGTGAAGCCTTCTCTACCTGTTCCCTTTCTTGTTCTTCGTAGCCTCATGGGTAGGCTTGCAGGGGTTGTTTTTGGTGTTGGTGAGGACATTTCAGAGGACAGTCCTTGCCTTGCAGGCTGGCTGTGGTGATTCCAGGAAATGGTACACAGAGGACACTGCAGGTCAGATGTTCCATAGAAACATGTGTGTGCACACCGCAGTCTTCTTTCTAGTTTACCAGTAGTTTACCAGGCTGCTCCCAGCAGTCGTCATTATACATGCATCTACATGTCAGTAAATTTATCTAAAATCCATTTACAGTCTACACGTAAGATTTTAAGTACATGTGATAAATGTTGTCTTTGTTCCACTCCCCCTTCCTCCTCCCCTCCTTTGGCCCAGAGGGCTGTGCAGTGCCTCTCTCGGAAAAAGTACTTCGTAGGTTTGCCATGAGGACTGCTGGGGCCAAGGCCACTTGCTCGCCAGGGTGTTTCATATTCCAGTCAGATGATCTGGGTGATACGGGTTTGGTTTGGAGCCCACCTTCCAAGAATGAAAGAGACCACTCACCGTTTTGTCTGACACTTTGCACTCCGCCTTCACTGGCTGAAAGACTGACTCTGAGGACTTCTGCCCCAAACCACAGCACCTAGGAGCTATGTGTTCTGTTTGAGCTTCAGACCTTGAGATGAGTGGGTGGTTGAGGAAAATAGGCAGACATTAGAGAGATGGGTGTGGGAACCATATATTATGTGTTTCAGGATTCTCTGGGTCCCTTTGTGCTGCCAACTCTTGGGGTAGCCATCAGATCAGTGCTAGGAGATTAGGAGGGGCCTTTGCTTTCTTACTACTCATTGAGCACCTGCTGGGCACTTTATATGCCTTGTCTCATTTGATCTTTGTGACCCTCTTCTGGGTGGTGGGCTGGTGGATCAGAACCGTAGCTGACATGTCAACTCTGCCCTCTTTATTCTTACAGATTACACAGACAGAGGTCCAGCAAGGACAGCAGCAGTTCAGCCAGTTCACAGATGGACAGGTAGGGTACCCAGCCTGGGCAGGGGCAGAGGGAAGGAATTAGGGGGCAGGGTAGCAGGTAGTATCTGGGTTTGGATGGTTAGGGCGACTCTACTGTCCTCTACTAACAATCAGTGGATAGAAATTGTTAAAACAAGTACAGTATTTAAATCAGGGCATCTATCCTTTAGTTTTATAGACTTAGTGGGAACTAAAACTAATCTTAGATATGTAGCCTCAATTGCTATTTTACAGATGAGTCAACTGAGCCCTGGAGATGAGAAGTGCCTTGTCCACGCTCCCTTAGCTGTTCATTGCAGAGCAAGGACTAGAGTGCAAGTTTCCTGTTTCCCTCTAAGAACTAGATTTTTTTCCCCCCTAAGCCATGATGCTTTTTTAATAGCATGGACTGTTGAGATGCAGGGAACGTGTGACCTCTTGAGCTCTCTGGGTACCTGAAATTCAATAATTTTCAATCCATGCAAGGAGAGAATCTTCCCTTTTCCCTCTGCTTTCCCCTCACAGTACAGTCCCAGAGACCACTGAGGATATGATAGGATGACATGCCCAAATTTGTGCCCTCTGCTGCTCAAAAGGGAGAAGAGCTGGCGTCAGAACCCACCTCTGGCTTCTGCCAGCACCACATGCTAGGCTTACATATCAGGGGTCCCGTGAGGTCTTGGCTTTGATTTCTTTGGGGGAGCACCTGAGAAACCTAGTCAGTTGACCCTGACCTTCCTAAGTGGCTGTGTGAGTATCTTCTCCACCCTTGGAGGGTCTTGACTATAGTAAGTGTTTAATACCAGGCCACTTCCTTAGCAGGGCCCATGGAGAAAATTCAAATTCAGTTTAGCTTCAACCTGAGCCAGATACTCTCAGAAAAAGAGGAGAGGAGAGGGTAATCCTACTGCCCCTGCCAGTGTAGATTACCAAGAGATGGGGAAATGCTGACTTCCAAGCTGCTGGTACAGTGGTTCGAATTGCTTGTGTTTGCCACAGAGGAACAGCGTGCAGCAAGCTCGAGTCTCTGAGCTAACGGGAGAGGCAGAGCCCAGAGAAGTGAAAGCCACAGGAAATTCAACTCCCTGCACCTCTTCCCTGCCCACCACACACCCCCCCTCACACCGGGCTGGTGCCTCCTGTGTCTGCTGCTCCCAACCCCAGCAGAGCTCCACATCCCCTCCTCCTTCTGACGCCTTGCAGTGGGTGGTGGTTGAGGTATCTGGGACCCCCAACCAGCTCGAGACCCATAGGGAGCTGCATGCCCCTCTCCCAGGGGTGACCTCACTCTCTCCTCTCCACCCCTCGCAGCAGCTCTACCAGATCCAGCAAGTCACCATGCCTGCAGGCCAGGACCTCGCCCAGCCCATGTTCATCCAGTCAGCCAACCAGCCCTCCGACGGGCAGGCCCCCCAGGTGACCGGCGACTGAGGGCCTAAGCTGGCAAGGCCAAGGACACCCAACACAATTTTTGCCATACAGCCCCAGGCGATGGGCACAGCCTCCCTCCCCAGAGGACCCGGCCGACCTCAGCGCCTCCTGCAGGCTAGGACACTGGTGCACTACGCCCCATGCCCGGGGACCGAGATTCTCCAACTGAAAGATGCAATCTTTTTTGTTTCCTTTTTTTCCATTTTTTTCTCCAAGGAATCAATATTTCAATATGTTGAGCTGTGTGTCCAATGCTATGAAATTAAAATATTAAATAACATATTTATGGCATTTTCTTGAAGAGTGTGGTTGAAGAAATATTTCTCCTTTTGTTTTTCTTTTTTTTGGGGTTCTTACCGCCACTTGTTTTTAGGAGCGAATCTTCCCAGGGGTGTATGGTATTTCTTGACTCTTGGAACAGCTGCTGCCCCCAAGATTTGCCATGTTGTTCTGTTCTACCCTCAGATGGAATTAGGTGAATGTGTGTAGCTGCTTTTTCACTAGTGGTCCTCTTCCCATCCCTTGCTCTTACCCTAGAGCTCTGTGTATTTGCATCCAGAAGCCATGGAAACATTCCTTGCATTTAAGAGACAGATGTATTTCCCATGGAGAATGAGTGGGTTCATTGCCACACTCTTTTCTCCCAGGGACCCAGGAGACTAAGGAGTTTGTGCATTTGCTGCCCACCTCCCCTTTATTTTTTAAATGCATTAAAAACTGTGCTAGTTGCCTTTGCATGGACTTCAAACTGCATGAAATGCAATAAATCTCATTTTAGATAATTGAGAGTCTGGGTTTCTGTGTCTGGGGGCATTCATGGGGCCACTTTGCTTGGAAAGGTTCATTTGCCCTCAGGTTGGGTATCTGGGAGAGAGGGCCACCCTTGTGAGAAGGGCATGTTCAAGCTAAGCATGTCTAATTCAAACTGCAGTCCTTAGCTGATTTTTTTTTTTTTTTTTTTGTCTTGCTCTATTGCCCAGGCTGGAGTGCAGTGGTGTGATCACTGCTCACTGCAGCCTCAATCTCCTGGGCTCAAGCAGTCCTCCCACCTCAGTCTCCTGAGTTGCTGGGACTATAGTCAGGTACCACCATGCCCAGCTAATTTTTTAATTTTTTATTGGTAGAGACAGGGTTTCACTCTATTGCCCTGGCTGGTCTTGATCTCCTGGGCTCAAGTGATCCTCCTACCTCAGCCTCCTGAAGTACTGGGATTATTCAGGCATGAGCCACTGTGCCTGGCCTACCTCAGCCAGTCTTAAAAGTGAACTTCATCAGAATATATTTGCTGCTCAGAGATGCCTGCCTGCTGGACTTACTAGATTCTCACCCGTGTATCAGATTGAGCTGTGTCCTGCTTGGTTAAGGGTCTTTCTCATGAAGAAAGCTGGCTCTATCAAACAAAGCCTGGGGTAAATCCTTCCAGTCCTGCCTGGCACAGGCTGGCATTCAGCTGCCTGCTGTGGCCATACCCATCACCTGCTGTGGCATGACATCTGCCACAGAGAGCAGCCCAGGCCCAGTGTCCGCCAGGAGTTCTACAGCCAAGACCTGCTTCCTGTTAATTGAAGCAGGGAGAATAGAGAGCGCATTCCACTTCTTCATTGGCCACAGAGGCCAGAGATGAGCCATCTTCATTACCTCCATCATGCCATCCTTCCAACTGGAAGAAGCTGCTGTTGACAGAAGAACAGTGAGCTGGGTACCAGGAAATGTAGGTATTTGCCCTAAAACCATGGACAACTCCCTTGTCTTTGGGACTGTCTCAATGGGTGAGGTGGAAATTGGGGAAAGGCTTATATTAGATGGCTTCAAGTCTGAGCCTGATGCTTTTATGATTTTCTCACCAAATATCCACTGTAAGACATGAATTGGGTTTCAACGAGTAGTTTCAGGTAACTACTGCCCTCTGATCTTTCTTCCTCCCAGGAGATTCCTTAGATCTCTGGGATCTGCTTAAATACGTTGCCTAGATTCAAGTCTGGCCAACTCTGCTCTTTCCTCTAGATGGGCAGATTGTCTTGATGATGGTGGCTTATACTCAAGCATCTATTTCATTTCCTTAACTATACCTCTCAGTCCATAAGAAAAAATTGCAATGAAAACAACATAATGAAATAATAAAGTAGGACAAATTAGAATTAGGAAAAATATAATTGAGTAGGAAATCAGGATTACTAGAAAACAAAAACATAAATATCATGGTTATAGAAACCTATGTAGTTGTTAGAGTTTTTTGACCCTGAGCTTCCTGGCCACCAAACCAAAAGAGATAAGACCAGATGAAGGATTCACATTATAAAGGAAAAATAACTTTTTTTTTCAAAAGTAAGTTTTTTTAGCTTTAAGGTTTTGGATACATGATACTGTGTATCCAAAGGGTAAAGCAGGTAACAGTTCATCAGAAGTCAGTAAGTCTGACCCCATAACACTGCGTCAGGGTCAGCTCCCACATGCTCCTGACTCCCAAATCAGTCCCTCCTTCTGTATCTAGTTATCTTCATTCTAGCTCTGGACTTCTTTTCTAAAGGGGGTCTTCTGGACTTCCCAGCTGTCCTGAACTTGGTCTTAGTGAGACCTCATATAATCAGCAAGTTTTCTCTGATAGCTGTGTGCCCAGCCCTGCATGCAGGGAATGCAAGAGGGTGAAAGTGAAGTGCAGAGGGGCCCTGAGCTTGGAGAAAAGGCAGAAGCTCCACAATTTAATTTCCTGGTGCCCTGTGTCCCACCTTGTTTGTTCTTTGGTTCATTCCTGAAAACCCAAGTGTGATTGGAGTTTCAGGCCAATGAATGAGTTCCTATTTCCCCATAGACTTCTATTCTTGTTTTAGAGATGTTTCGATCAGTTGTGATTAGCAAGCAGCTTGCCTGCTGAACACTTTCTCTTTAAATTGCCCTGCCAGCAGGGCCCATCCTGGTGTAAACAAACCCTTTTGTGCAGCCCAAGAGAGCCCCTATCTAATACCCAGCACGATCCCCTTACATCCGGAGCACTCTTTAAACATTTTTCCTAGCACTTGCAGCATCCGTCCTCCCTCCCGTTGATCTTCACAGTGACCCTGCAGGGGACACAGAAAGGCATCATGATCCCTGTGTCAGAGATGGAGCCATGGGAGGGCTAGTGAAGTGCAGTGACTTGCCCAAGGTCACTCCATGAATTAAGGGTGGAATTGAAACCAAAACACTGATCTCCTTACCCCCTGTGCATACACGGTTGCTCTCTGGCCAAAGGTGACGTGTATATGTGTAAGAAAGAACCAGGCTATTGAAATGCGAACTATCCCCTTTTGTTCAGTCTGCCTGAACTGACTGGCCGAGCCCTGAGTGTACGTGAAATAAATAAAGCAGTTGGGTCTAGTCTGGGGACAGCTGCTGTTGGGATAACTCTCCACAAGGATGACCTTGGAGATTGGAGACCCCTGGAATCAGGAGTGGATGGTCTGGCTGGCTTCCTTGCAGCGCAGGTCTGCGGAGGCCACAAGGGGGCAGCATGCAGCCCTCACCTGCATCTCTGGGAGGTGCCCTGTCGTCATCCCAACCGGAGATAATTCTAGGAACTAGTGGGAGTATGACTGTCCCCTTTCTTAACCCCTTTCCTGATAAGACCCTCTCACCCTTTGAAGGGAGGGTCCTCCCTAGGATAACCGTGAGGGCTGGAAACTGTACCTTCTGCAGAGTATTGCCTCAAGGTAGGTGGTCAGATTTTAATAAGGACTTTCTGACAGCTCAAGTTGGTTCAAGGTCCTTCTTATCTCCCCAGCTTTGTGTCTTTTCGCTCTCCTTTCTCCCACCACCTCCTGTACTCTATGCTCCTGTCATACCCAATTACTCACTGATTTCTGAACTTACTTCCACATTTTTCAGAATCCATCAAGGCCCAATTTAAATGGCCCTTGCTGAGAAAAACTTCTAATTCCTGGGCCAGAGTCAACAAAGACCTCTTCAGTGCTCCCATTCGAACTTCTACAACCTCTGTTATTAGAGCTCATCTCCAGTCACTCCGCAGATGTTTCTTTGGCACCTTCTGTGTGTCAGACTTTGTTTTAAACATTGTGAATACAGCTTAAAACAAGTCTGACTTCTCTGCTACCATGGGACTTAGATTGAAGATTGAGTTGAGGGCGGGAGTTGAGTTGGGAACGGGGGAGAGAGGCAAACATAAGACCAAGTTAGCCTCTGAAGAAACGCCTTGTCCCTCTTCTGGTTTGGACTGTCTTCCTCACAGGTAGTCCTCCAGGCCAGGGTCATCTCTGCACCTCCAGAGCGCAGCCCAGAGCCTGGCACCAAGAGGGTAACAGTTACTGATGAGCGAGTGTGAACACAAACCCATCCTTGACACTGCACACATTCCCAGCTATGCTCATCTGCTCTCACTATGACATTTTTTTCTTGTTAACAATTTTTTTATTGAGCTCTGATAATATGCCAGGCAGGAGTGTTCGGTGGAGATTATCATTTCAAGAAATTTCTGTCTAGGAAAATATGTCTAAGGCCAGGTGTGGTGGCTCATGCCTATAATTCTAGAACTTGGGGAGACTGAGGTGGGAGAATCACGTGAAGCCAGGAGTTTGAGACCAGCCTGGGGAACATGGTGAAACCCCATCTCTACAAAAAATAAAAAAATTAGCCAGGCATGGTGGTGCATGCCTGTAATCTCAGCTACTTGGGAGGCTGAGGAGGGAGGATCACTTGAGCCAGGGAGGATCACTTGAGCCAGGGAGGATCACTTGAGCCCAGGAGGCAGAGGTTGCAGTGAGCCAAGATTGTGTCACTGCACTCCAGCGTGGGCAACACAGTGGGCAACCCTATCTCAAAATAAAAAGGAAAGAAAATATTTCTAAAGCTTGGTACTCATGGATTCTCATTTCACCTTCACATCCTTATTAGGTAGGCATTCTCCCTATTTTATAAGCAAGAAACTGGAGCTCAAAAATGTTAAGATATTACCCAAGGGCACCAGCTGGTTGACTGGAGCCAGATGCTCCTAGAAGCCTCCTGTCCCAGCTGGCCTATCCCGCATGGGTTTTGTCCCCTCCATTTGTGATTATTTTCCTATAAAGAATGAACTCCATTTCCCACTAACTCCTGGGTAGGGACCTAGCCTTTGTCCCTCAGCTCCAGCCATCTATAGGCCTCAGTGAGGTGGCATCTGACCTCCCCTCCAGAGCCGGGCTGCTAGTGTCTTCCCCAGCTTGGGTGCTGTTCTACTGCCATGGCTAAGGAAGAGGTGACAGAAGGACAGTAAGGCTGGCAATCAGTAGGGAAGAATCTGAGCTGGGCCAGGCTGGGCTGGGCTCCTGAGTCTGGCTGGTGCTGAGGAGAGGTCTGAAACAGTCTGGCCTCCCTCCGGTGCCTGAGCCTCCAGCCCCACCACCCGCTCCTTAGAGTCCTGGCCCTGCGCTGTGCCCATCATCTCTGTGAACTCCCAGCCCCTCCCCCAAGCTCCTGTTCCTCTCTCTTTCTGGGAAGGGCTGTGGAACAGAAGCTTTCTAAGATCTTGTGTGTGTCAAATGTCTTGATTTTGAAACTTAAGTGACAGTTTGGCAAGGTATGGAATTCTAGGTTCACAATTATTTGCCCTCAGCACTCTGAAGATACGATTCCATTGTCTCTTGGCATCTGTTGTTGCTGATGAGAAGTTTACTGTCAACTCAATTATTGGACCTTTGTAGATAGGCCATCTTTTCTCTCTGGTGGCTGTTAGAATTTCTATTTATTCTTGATATTCTACACTTTGACTACAAGGTGTCTAGGTAGAGTTCTGTTTTCTAAGATATCTTACTAG